CCTCACCCATATCAATTGATGTCCCCATGCTTTCTCACACTTCCTCTAATACAAAGTGAGTATAATCACTATGTGAACTCTCAACAAAGGAGTCACAAAAGATGCAGGTGATTCTATCATAGCTCTATAGTACTACTTCCATAATTCCTCACAAGAAAATCTCTCCATATCATCTTTTGTCTCTATACTGTTCTAATCTCTACATAAATGTTGAACCGAACCGGAACAGGTGGTTTGCGATTCAAATCCATGAAACATTCAGTATAGAATGTATATAATACAATCCCAAGTCTCTCCATAAGTAACTATTGGAAGAATCAATGGCATTCTTGACTCCATCACTCTAGTCATAAAATCTGCACCCCAACAAGCCACAAGGTACATCCAAAAATGATGTTTCTCCATGCAACGAAGGTGAATATCAAATAGGTTAGGAATTGGCCCGTGCGGTATTGGTTTCATGTCAATCCCGTCCATATCTGCAAAACCACAATTTCCCCCTTCCACCTCTCTCTACATGCAGATGAATGACCTCTGCCAGCCTCTATACACTCTCAAAACTGCACTCCATCATCACTCACTTGCTATTCCATGAGAGGTAATCCACACTCAAGGAAAAAGCAAGGTTGCTGTGATACCATTGTAACACTAGGGTTTAGAGAGAAGCTCACTCAAAGATAGAAACGTAAACTGTGAAGATGAGAGATATCAACAATGGTTCTCCTCTCACCAACAAGTACAAGGAGATAAGATCTAATCTCCACCATCCATCCCACTCCTAGTGGGTGGATGACGTGCCGGATAACCCTAAAAGCACACTGATCGCTAACGTGGCGCTCCCAACTAACACACTCAATCCTTAGCTACAAGCACACGGATTGCTGACTTGGCACTGTCAACTAACACATCCACTCTGTACCTACCAAGTGCGCGGATCGCTGACGTGGCAACTATGACTAGTTTCTATATCAATATTTCGAGTAACCTCTACTTTAGTTCTAACTAACTAAAGATGGTTACATGGGAATATCAAGAAAGTTAACAAAATAAACTTGGGAGAAGAAGCACATGAGTGATTATGATTAGCTACCAAGCAGTTCCATTATACAGTCATCCCTACTAACTTCTTTGTTACATTATGTTCTTAACTTTCTAAGTCATGGCCGAGAAAACTAATTCTTCTACCACGTCCATTAGAACAACCCACACAACGATCTTATAGCAGACAGCCACCAGGAGCACTGTAGTCACAATCAGCTTGCTCTTATAATTACTTGCCATCTAGATTGAAAAACTGGCATGGGTCCTCAATACAAGGGGCCGAGACTAGTCGGACACTGTTGAATGCCTCACCCGCGGCATCACCTCTAATGGTACCGCGTTCTCCTTCCACAGCATGCCCACGATTACGTCCGCGACCGCGAGCTCTGCTATTTTCATATCTAAACTTTTCTCCCTCAGCAGGCTTGAGAAAATCATTATGCTCACAAGCTTTTTTGATTTCTCTTCCTTCTCTAAGGCTTACTTTTCCTTCTTCTTCTTCTCCTTGTCGGCACCCAGTTTAATAAATACATCTTCTTCAGTTGACTTTTTATCTACCATTTGCATGGTCTCAAAAGCCTTATCAGCTTCTACTTTGCTTTCTTCCGCTTTGCTTGTGGCAAGAGCTTTACGCTTCTACTCAAGAATCTTCTCATATTTGTCCAAAATCGTTTCATTGTCTTTCTTCTCTTCTTCTTTCTTCTTGCCGTCCTCAGTGACTCCGGCGTCAACTTAGTTCTCGCCTTCAGCCTTCTTTTCTTCACCGGATGTGACAACTTTCTCCTCCTCTTTCGCAGCAACCTCCATAGGTTCTTGCATGACACCCTGATCATCATCACCTCCCCAGTTTGCTCAACCAGAACCATCTCGGTTCATCTCATTGCCACGGCTAAATCCACTGTGACGATCATGCTCTCGACGTCCTCATTGTCTCCTCCATAGCCACGGTCACGACCTCCACGGCCACCGCCACCGCCTCTGCCCATGCTATCTTCAGAAGACTAGCTTTTGTCATCCTCTTCATGAGATGACCTCTCATTGACACCACCGAAGCCTCCGCCTCTTCCACCAGCAACATAACCAACGTGATTTCCTCCCTGATGGTCATCGCTATTCTCTCGGTTGTTGCCACGGTCATTGTAGTTTTCGCAATTCCAGAGAAGCCATCGCGGTTCTCGCACTGAAGTCTTCATCGCGATCACCGCCATTCCATATCCACCATGACCTCAGCTAGTATCATGGCCTTCTCCACGTTCACGCTCACTTTCATTCTGCTCCTTCATCGCTTCAGTTGGTGGAGTCGGCTTCAAAGGAAGCCAGGCTGTGACCTGCGCTGCAGCAAGAGTCTGCTGTGATTTCTTGGTAACTGGCTTCTCCGCAGGGGGAGGCTAAGTGGCTCTAGCAATGACAGCCGTGGGTTCTTCATTTTCATCGTCGCTCAATTTTTTACGTCATAAGCTAGCAGATTAGATATCCATAGCAAGTAAACTTTTCAATCTATATCAGTTTAATCATATTTTATGTCTTAACAAGATAGAGTATTTAAACGACAATAGATAATTAGTATGAGAAATGCCGAGCAAACATATTTTTTCTCCACCTAATCTAATTTAGAAAGTTGTTGCTATGTTGCTATGTGTTACATATCAAAATCTTCAATAAAGCATGAATGTATAACAATTGGGTGTATCCCAGTTGAGTGACAATCATCAAACTACAAAAGGTTTTTGCACTTGTGTGTTGATTTTTAAGCTTTAGTGTATGATATGTTACTCATAGTAGTAAGAGAGTGTTTTAAATGGATCAAAAATCTATTCATACATTTTAGTGTGCAACTAACATGACAAAGATAACTATCTTTTTTCATCTCAAAAAGAATCAAATAAAAAATGGTAGTAAGTATTATTACAAACAAATTTAATATTCAAAGCTAGATTGTCATAACATACATATTCAAAAGATTAATTTTTGTAAACTTGAAAATCTTGCAATCGTACAACTTCACGAAGATCAATAATATTTTAGACATTGGCACTAAATATAGCTATTAAAATTTGATATTATTGAGTAAAAATTGTAGATTTACAATTTGATTTAATTTATTACCAATTTTGGCATATTTTAAATTAAATTTTTATGTAAATCCGACCATATCTCCTAGTTAAGAAGTTGCTTGAATATTTATATTTCTAATTTGTCAAAGGTGTGAAATATTGGATCTTGACTCCATTATGCATTAGAACTTTCAAACTCGCACCAAGTCTATCTAATCACAATATTGAGTTTTTTGTTGAACTTGGTAAATACCTCCAAATCTTCTTTGCTCACTTGTGAATGTGTGATAAGATTGAGAAGAAATTCATTTGATTCAATTTACACTTTGAACTCAGAATAATAATAGCCGCAATGTAAATTAAAGTTGTGATATATTTTATGAACATTGAGTTTGGATATATCATCAAAAAACTAGCGGTTAGTATGAGATAACATCAACAAGAATGGAAAAATACCTATTTGATTGAAAAATATCAAGTTAAAGGCTCAGATTTGCATGCAATCAATTGTACATAAGAAATAGCTTTTGAGTATTGTTCAAGTATAGGGCTATTCCAACATGCCAATCGCTTGTTTTGTTAGCACTGCTTTCATTTTTGTCATGTCCATATGTGTTGTGATTAGTTAGATCAAATTGGAGTTAACTCTAGTTGAGTTAACAGTAGATTAGTGCTCACTCTTGCTAGTTGGAGAATATAGTCGAGTGACGATTCGAAGAACCTTCAGTTCTTTAAGTTGAGACTTCAGTGTTAAGAGTAACTCTCAGTTGGTTAGCTATGGTGTCCAGGTAGTATAGGCTTGGATTTTCCTAGTTATGGAGTGAACTTGGCTCTACTTTATGTAAGATTCTTGTTTAATGCAATGGGGGGTTCACTAGAATTTTCACTCGAAAAACTAGAAGAATTTGTGATACATTTGTGTATTTCTATGTTTTTGTTCTCTATATGTATGTATGTGAGTATGGTATGTCATGACGTTTTATTGTATGACGATATTAGTACACATATTTGCACGAGATCTTTGTATAAGTCTAATGTTATGCAACATGTTTGTGAAGATAATATCATACTAAACTACATCATGTATCACATACTCAAACATAGTAAAGTCCAGTTCAAATTTTCAATAGCAATTACTATACCCAAAGTAATACATATAGGATACAGAGAAAGTAAATCATGTTATGTGCTATCACGGGTTCATGTTATTTGTATATTATTTATCTTGAAATATACTATAATGGAAATTTTTTATCTCTATAGTTAGGTTGTCACGAACTCATGTTGTTTTACATCTTAAATTCCTAAAATTATTACAATGAATATTTCTCATCTTAATGTAATTGCTATCACGAGTTCATTTTATTTTTATTTCGATATTCATTATAACTCTTGTTTTTTCATCACTATATTACCATTGTCACGCACTTATATTTATTATGTATTTTTCTTATTTTAAAAAGTATTTGATATAATTTTTTGTTATGATTTTACTGATATCATGAATTCATATTGTTATACTGAAATTTTCATAATATAAAAATTTCAATATAAAAATATATATACATCATTATATTATTTTTCTGCATAATAACTATGATACAGACTTCGGATCACTAGATATTCACATTTTCTTGTTCAGAGAGATGATCTGTCTACAAATCAACCTTCTACATTGGCCGCGGTTAGTATAAGTAGCGTTGGAGAGCAAAGGAAGGTGAGAAGGAGAATATTGATGGGGAGATGGTACGAGGAGGGGGTATGATGACGAGAAGGTGATAAGATAACCACGTCTTGGATTGTGGAGTGGACATCAATCCATCGGATTGATGAAAGTCGTTTCCAAATGAACATCTTGCAAATGCAATGGCCACGGGCCACAATCTTGTTACTCATAATACATTTTATTCACTCTAACATTTGCACTAAAACATATGAATTCCAGCTCTGCAATCTTGATACATTGAAAAAAATCTCATCCTCGAGCAACTATGACTCTACCCAACCAAATTTCTCAAAAGTTTTGTTTGGATCTTGTGGGATAGGATTCGGACCATACAACCACTCGTGTAGGTGTTGCCAAGTGAACCTTTAGGAATCAGTGATGAATGTCAGAGTTGTGAGTTATGAAGTTTGAAATCCCACTGTTTTAATACGTTTGAAGTTGTTCATCCGTCCATACAGGCATGCCTCGTATGGAGAATGGGAATGAGGCATGCCCCCGTGCCCTCAGTCCGATCGTTCGTTGGGATTGGGCTCGAGGTAATGGAGTCGTTGCTGGAGGCACACTCTTGGCAGACTTGAGCCTGTGCTCTCGTTGCGTGAAGCTTCAGTCGCCTTTCGTGAGCCGAGGTGCACGACAAACGCTCGCAACCACGGACGCTTAAAAAAGGACTCTCGCTCGATGCCGTCCCCAGTCGCACCCTCCATCGCCCGTCTGTTGCTTTCCGAACTAACTGGCTCGCAGTCAGTCAGTCCTGCAGATCTGGGGCGGCATGCCACGAGAATTACGCTTGGCCCCAATCCAGGTTTAGCTCGTCTGCAGCTCTGCTGGACGCGCACGAGTGCAAAACTGACGGAGGTGAAATCCAGTGCTCTTTTTAACTTCAACTCGAGTTTACATGGCCCTAGAAATCTGGTCATGGATGAAACAAAACCCAACGATGTGGCTTTCACGTCATGGGTTTTCAGAATGGAGAAGAATTCGCTGCATCTGTGGGAGAGAAGGGCAGCACTGAGGTTTTGGGAGGGGGGCGAGTGGAGGTTACCTGCCGTAACTGGCCTCGTGTTGCTGGCAGATCTGCAAGATTTTTCTACAGCAGCCATCTTGGTTACGACACTAGTATGTGAAGTTGGCTGTTGAGTTGAATTCAGGCTACATTGCTGATCGTTTTTGGACATCCGTGATCTCGTCGTACCTGGCATGTTGGCCATCCCTGACACCATCCACACTCTCCTCTGATGTTCATGATTTGATTGCCCCTCCCACTCCAACTCCCACTCCCAACAGTGATCGAACATGAAGCAAAATCATCATCATCACCACCACCACCATCATCATCAAGAGTTTTGGATCGAGCAACTCTCCCTGCAACTAGCCATCGATCCGCCTCCTCCTCCTCCTCCAGTGGACAGATGAGATGGTCGACGCCCAATGCAAATGCCCACTAGTGCCCGGGTACTAGCTAAGCTAACATTGGACAGGCAGATACGAGAACTTATCAACCCTGTTCAGAGAGAGTTTCATGCAAGGAATGGATGCGTGAACCAGCAGCAGGGGCCAGGGGAACTTGTACTTGCACGCTACTGCTGAAGTGCTCTCAGATGAATATATTCTGGCAGCAGAGGAGAAGTAAAAACGTGCTCTGGGTTCGCTACATTTGCCCCAAACAGTGGAGAGAGAGATAGAGAGAGAGATGATCTATTTCCGCGATGGGAATTTTGAGGAGTGTTAATTTGATGGTTGGACTTTCCGCAACAAGCCAGTTCTGATAAATTAAGGACGATCTGGACAGGTCATGACCGAGCGAGCGAGAGACACTGGGAGCTACGGCTCGACGGGATAAATTTGGACCTGGGCCGGATTTAGCTGCGAGCTCCTCAGCAGCAGTGCGGACTCGCCCTGCAATGGCGCTGGGTAGCAGACGAAAGCCCTCTAACTTTTCCTGCGAGTCTACAGAAGTTGTCTGATATGCAAGTTTCTGGGAAACAGAAGAGTCCGATCTCGACCACGAGGGCATTTGTAGAGCATTCAAGCCGAGTCAAATTTAGCTCGGGCACCATGGCTCTCTCTCTCTCTCTCTCTCTCTGAGGAAGCGTCGCTTTTGCTTCCTGGCCTGCTACGATCGTCAAACGTGTGAGCTCCTGTTGGAACTGTGCACCGATTGCAGTCTCAAATTCGGGCTGCGCAAGTTGACTGTTCGCAATGGAGACACTTCCCTTGCCAATAGATCTCTATTTTAAAGTGGTCCCCCACACAAGAGGAGGAGGAGGGAGACATATAGCTATGTCGACATGACCTCCATCTGCATGAGTGCGGTTCCTGGAACCTGCAACGAAGGGGGCTGAGATGACATTCTTCTCCACCCAAGGAGAGCGAGAGCGAGAGCACGAGCACGAGCAAAGCAGCAGAAGCAGCATAGCTGCCAATTCCTTCCATGGGTGAAACTCAAGCCCTCGTGTGGCTGGCTTGCTGGCCTTCTCGTCGTAAATAGCTGAGCATGAGAAGATGCTGATTTTTTGCCGACATTAGAATGTCCAAGCAGGAGAAAGGGAAAGAGGAAAGGAAAGCAGGACGGCCTGCTGGTGATTGTTCTCCATGTCTAACTATCTTATTACCTTCCATCTGCCTTTCTTCTATTCTTTTGTCCATGGTCATGTCTCGTCGTGTGTTCCGAACTGAGCATACAGCAAGACATTCTCTAGATTGATGGAGGGCCGGGGCACCTGCAAGACGAGATCGAGATGATGGTGTTAAAGATGAAGGCTTCATATATCTACCTGCCTATCTATCTATCTATCTATCCATCCATCCATCCATCTTTCCACTACGTGATTGAAATGGGGGAGAGACCTTCTCTGGGAGTGAGGAGAAAGGCTCCTCCCATTCATCAGGGACTCATGGCTTCCTCGTGTTCCTTGGACTTGCGACAACGACATGGCAGAACTGTACCGGGACAGCGAAATAATAAGAAAAGGTGAAGCTGCTTGGGCCTAGCAGCATATGCCAAGAGATCAGAATTATCCTTCGGCGCCATGTCGAGAGTCAAAGCAGCAGAGGCATGACGACGAATATTTTATTGTGCGCAAAACAAGCTTCATGAATGATTGAGTGAATCCACAAGAAGAAGCAGAAGCAGAAGATTATTGAATCTTTTGCATGATGCCTCCTCGCCCTCGTTCTCGTCCTTCTCCTACTACTTTTTCCTCACGGGCATATCGGAATCAAGCAGCTCTTTCTCTTTGACTTTTCCCTTTCCTGATCTCATGCTGTGGCTCTGCGTATGCGGCACACGCAGCAAAAACCACGACTCCATGCTTTTCATCTGAGTCATATGATCTCATCTCCCCGGTCACAAGAGCCCTCTCATGCATGCACAACATCGTACTGTACTAACTGGCACGGTCATAAGTCCACGACGAAATTGGGGCACCCCATTCTTTTTAGAGATTGGTGAGTGAGAGAGAGCCAGTGATCAGCCATGACTTGCATGACGTCCTCTGGGGAGCTGTGTCTCGAAATCGACGTCTTGTCTGAACCACTTGGTGGAGCGAATATGCAACAACTTGTTGAACTAGATTCCGTGACGGATGCTATTCCATTAACTCAAGAGAGAGGAGGATGATGCTGCTGCTGCTGCTCGGACATAATGGGCTCGACATATTCCAGAGAGATGCTAATCAGTGATGCCACCACCGTCACGAAGAGGCCACGGCAAATGGGCACGAACGATCTTTAGTGAAATGAAGGAAAGTAGATCGATCGAGAGGAGCTCAAATTCTCGAAGGACAAGAGAAGAGCACGACAAAAAACGTAATAAACAAAATTAAACCTGATTTTGGTGTCATATCAAGCGATCGAGGTGCGTGATGGACGAGGAGGAGCATCCGAGAGGAATCGGAGGCAGAGGAGGTGAGGGCTCGACGATCGACGGTGAGGCAGGATCAGCGCTGCTGGGCAACACGAGGGAGGGGCTGGCTAGGACCCAGAAACGCTGCTCCTGGCTCGTTTTCCAACCACAGGAAAAGGATGGAGAATGATGCCTCGCGGATGCCGATCCGATGCCGCCATGGACCGACTTTTGCCCTTGCGGCCTGCGAGCGCGATGCTTTCTCGCGGGCGCCATTGGCCGCAGCCCCGCCTCCTGTCAGCGATTCCTCCCCGATCCTCATTCGATCCTGTCCCCCGCGTGGGACTGTCCCGTCCCGGGCACGCTTTACCTTCCCCCTCGATATTATTCCTTCCTGGACGCCTCCCGCCCGTCCCTCCCTCCCTCCCAAGGCCGGCCGTCGTACCTCCAAGGGCATCATTCTCGAATCTCCGCTGGATTCTCCTGCGGACGGCTCCGTAGGTGAGGAGGGCCGACCATCGAGAACGAGAGCCCGGATCCGGAACCTGGGACGGATTAATTATAGGAGACAGAAAGCGAGATACGGCCGTGGGCGGATTTGACTTTCGGATGAATGCCATGCCCATGGCGATGGCTATGGCTCGGATAAGAAATGCGGGACATGCATGGAGGAGGACCGGAATTGACCGAGTTGGACTCGACTGGCGATTCCGGTTTGCGAGATGCCGAGCGCTTACACGGCGAGCAGCAGCCGGACATGATCGACCATGCAACGGAGTAGTACCGAGTAGCGGAGCGGGGAAGTGGTGGGGCACGGTACGACATGCACCGATAAGGTCGAGGCGGCGACAGCGAACACCGACCTCGAGGTGCGAGGCTTTACTGGGTAGATAGATGGCACGCCATACTGCTGCTGCTGCTGCTACACCACAGCCTCGGTCGACCGGGTAGCCCGCGATCAGCGCAGTCTCACCGACTGGACTGACTCGCTTCTCCGACGTGGTGGGGCCCCGCGTCGGAGAACTGCACCGATCCGATGCTGCTGCTGCTGATGATGTTCGACGGATGCGTCGGGGGGCTGCTCTCTGACATTCTTCGCGGAATAATATCTACCAGCGCCAGGTAACTGCGTGTTCCAGGCTTGGACGGACCCACGAGTACGACTGACTGTCCGCCGGCGACCTTTTCCCGACTTCGTCCCTCGGCCATCTGTCTGGCCGAAAAAAGAATCCGGCATTCGGCATTCGGCATTCGGCAGCGGACGCGGGGCCGATGACCCCAACCTCTCTTCTGAATCTTCGAGGAATCCTCGATGCCTGTCTGCTGCTCCATCGACCTTCTCGGAGCTGGTGATTTTGGCTAGGGATGAGCATCGAGGGCATTCGACAGTGGCAGCCTCGCTCCTCTTGAGATCAGGGAGAGCCCCCGTAAAATCTTTCTCGTGGCGAAGGAATCGACATTTCGGAGGCTGATCATTTACTTCCCTCTTCGTGCTCTGCTTGAGGTATGACAGATCGCTGCCCGTGATTTCGGACTGTCTAAACCGACACGGGCTGGGTGCGAGTAGGTGTGTGAGAGTGAGTGCGGAGAATGGTCGACGTCCACTCTCGCAAGCTCCGACGATGCATGTGATTCTCGACCAGTCGAGACGTGGCTATCGAGGTTATTCCATAGCCCCCGAGCGGGCGCTGACTGCAGGGAGGTTACACCGGGAAAAGATTTTGCAGCGAGGAAGCTGGAATGATTCCTTTCTCCATAACCGCAGGGCTTTTCACATGAGCGACATGGGTGCACGGTCGTCTGAATATCGACGTCATGCGCTGGAATTGAGGACATTCGCGCGCATCTCTACAAGACAAAGTGAAATGAAGACAGGCTCGATCATCATCCGGACTTGGGCTTTGTCGTTTAACCTACCCATGGTGGACAAATGCACGACCGCCTTGGTGCAACCGTTTTAAGGAATCAATCGGTTCGAGCACTAGCCCCCTCCCCTGAAGATACACGCATGACTGAGCAGAGCGGCAAACATACATTCACCGGAGCAGGGGCGGGCAAGCGAATTGAGCACTTGCAGGTGCAAGCGCATAAAAACAAACAAGAATATAATTAATCAAATTGAAAGTTTAGGTCTTTATCATAACCGATGCACCAACACCTTGTGGTGCCGTGGCTCCTCTTTACAAGATTGTTCCAACTATCAGGATAGACTTCTCAATCAACTGGCAAAGTGCAAAAGTATGGTACAAGCTCGAGCCCAGCTTGCATGAACAGAGTATCAAACTAAAGGTTCCATCAGAACATTCTGATGCCAATTGTAAGAAATGTTTCGGTGATGTGCCCTTCGAGACGGCAGGCTGCGGCAGAGTCGCGATCACCCTGATGGAAACCACGCACCGTGCTCGGGGACGATCAGAAATGCACTAGGGGATGAATTTTGACCCTCCTATGAAATCGATCTGTGAATTGAGGCCAGGGAAAACCCGTCCACGTACAAACAGGGGGTTGCTTCCCACGCCTATGATTTTTTTTTCCTCTTAAGCAGTAATCTAAACAGAGCTTCGGCTCTGTGTTGGAATCAGCAACTCGAAGTCGAAGAACCCCCCACTGCGAGGGCGACGAGTATGAGACAGCAGTAGAGGACCGAGGCGTCAAGTTGCTGAAGCCAACTCCGAGTGCAAGCTACCTTCGGAGACGACACACATATGAGATAACCGCCAGAACATCTTCCTTATACTTCGAGGCCGTGAGAGATGGACGCCCTCCACCACCCTCCAACAGCGGTTGTCGTAGCAAACGTATACACACCATCTCTCCAACCTCTGGGAGCAGAGCAGCGGAGGAGAGAAGCAAGGAGAAGCCTCCCTAAAACATTTCGGATAAGCAAATAAATGGGAAAATCTTCAATCCCAGGAATCAGGATCCCAAGCTCCATAGTCCGAACTGCTCACTCGTCCACCGAAGAATCCCAGATCCCCACACCTGTCTCCTATACCTGAGTAATCTCCCCATCGCTACGACCGGGTGTGAAGAATAGTTGCATGAGCCGTGCTACTATGATATGGGGGTGCCTGACGTTTCAGCGTCCTAAAAAAACGTCCTAAAATGAATCGTGTACATGTCGGTATAAAACTGCTGGTGGGAAATGGTCAAAGGCAATTATGTCCAGGCCCCCACTCACTCATCGGTAATGGTATTCTCGGGTCCTCGTCCGGGGAGAGAATACCAGCTATTAGAGAACTTTGGCTCTCCGTGGTTGAAATTTGAGTAGAAAACACACCAACAGCTGTACGCCTGCTCCTGAGACCTCAGATCTTAAGCTTTGCGCATGGCTTGGATAGTGCGTAGAGCGGCCAGGGTTTGCCGATGTATGGGCTCCGACTCCATGGCCTGGCTCAGAGAAGCATCCTCGATGACCCCTTCCTCCACAACAGCTTCGTGCATGGGACTGGGAGGGAGAATGGAGCGTATGCTGTTGGCACACTCCAGGCACTCCAAGACCAGCTTCGACAGCAGTTTGGTACTGAAAAACGGCTGGTGCAGGACACTTACAATGAAAGGCATACGCAGCACGGCCCCGGTCCGCTTGTCATGCTTCTTGAGGATCTTGACCAGACCCATGTAGTTAAGCGAGCTGTAGTTCTCCAGCAGCACCATCTCTCCGTGGAAAGTCACGATGTCCATCTGTATCCGGGTGCACTCCTCCTCGCAGGATCTGTCGCAGGCGTTGCCATTCTCGGCGTACTTGACCTTCACCCGTTCGATCCTCTCCTTCAGCTGGTGCAGGCGAATCACGTACTCCTCTTCCTTCTCAATGAAGAAGTTGTTGAACTTGTCCAGTTCAACATTGAGCAGCCGGATGAACTCCTTGTCCTTAGCCATGAGTTGGGCGACCCTGTTTTCTTCGCCGGAATCGTCATTGCTAAGAACCCCATTGGAGTCCTCCGCCGCCACTGCCGAAAGCTCTTCAACCACTTCTTCCACTGTCAGTACCTTCCTCTTCTTCGGGCTCGGATGCTCGAAGGGAGCGGTATCTGAGGCATCGCTGTCCACCAGCTCCGCCGCTCCTCGCTTCTCACCCCTCGCTTCTTCGTTCTCATCCCTCTCGGTATCGGCCTCGTCCACCTCGTCCGAGGGATCTTTCGTCAGGCACCCGTCCAAGCTCGGCGACGAGAATGCATTATTCTCCACAAATGCTGCTTTCGTGAAGCACACGGGAGCCTGAATGGATTTTAGCCGCTTCTTCAACTGCTTATAGCACAGAAATTTCTCCCTCCACTCGGGAATGGTGTCATCCAACTGATTCTGCATAATCTTCCCGAACTTCATCTTTACCCTAACCTCCTGCTCTCGAGCCCTCAGGCACACCGTCCCACCTTCAATCCACACCGACGCAAACGCAGCGCAGGCAGAAACCCAGAGGACCGGAAGAACCGCACTCTCGCCCAAGAACCGGAGCCCGCTCGCGAGACCCACGAAAACGCTCACACCCCTCTCGACAATCCTCCTGACCAAGCCTCAAGCCCGGAAGCGGACGAACCCATCTCTAACCCAGCGAAAATCCTCCGTCTCATGCACGCACGCCTGCAGCGAACGAACGACCACTCTACGGCCAAATTCGAAGCACGGCCTCACGCATGCCTGGCTGGCTGCCGAGATGCGCGACTGCGAACACACCGATAACCTGATCCACGACTCTATTCGACTCTCGAGCGACAGACCTCGACCTCGACTTCCAGACTTCAAAGACGCCTTGTAGCTCCAAAACTGCTCCCGCCTCGGGCTTAAATCACAATCTCCCCGGGCAAACTCCACGCGGCGTGCACGAATCGGACCGAATCTGGGGCCCAAAGGATCAGGGGAGCCCAGCCGTTATGATGCTGTAGGCCGCAGATTTGGCAGAATGTAAACAGGAGAGCCAAAATTGCATAGACTGCACACCCGAGCGAGCATTCGCCTTCCCCTCGCGCTCTCGCCAAATCCCTCGAAGAAACTCGAGGCAGAACTGACAGCGGAGCCGGGCCCCTGGGGCCACAAGATGTTCGAGCGCGGGGGGGGGGGGGGGGGGGGAGGCAGGGGGCGGAATTCGGCGGACCCGCTGTCGGCCGCGCCTCGGATTGGCAGCTGCCTCCAAACTGGCGCCTGGCGGGGCCTTTAGGCCACCTGTTGGAGAGGGATCGCGCCTGTGAATGATACCCGAGATCCTCTGGGAGCGAGGAATATCCGTTCGGAATGTCCCTTATCCTGTGCTGCTGACGTTGCTCTGACGGATGGTACAGTTCGCGGCATTCGTCGAATATCCGTCGCCCCCCGACGGATTTGGCCTGCCCGGCACCTGCCGTCGAGGGCCCCGAATTATCCCGCCCCTCGATTCGCATCGCGCCTCCGCATCCGTGAGATGCCTGCCGGGTCGCCATCGGACGGCCCGCGCTCGCCTCCCATGACTCATGAGTATTATCCCCAACGTGGGTCTCTTAATGGACAAAACACGTTTTGCCTCGGGCTCAAGGGCCCCGATCCGATCTGGCCTCCTCTCTGGAACCCGGCCGAGCACATATTCTGATGCCTGTCCTCCCCAGAAAGATATTTAACCTTTTCTCGTGCTTATTAAAGTACGCCTCGCACCGCCCCGACGCACACACGACTCCGGCCCCAGATGTTGAACCCCTCGCATGATTCCCTACAGAGAAAATAATACACTAAAATAATGCACCCTTTGACCGCCTCCCCTTACTTAACTCCCAGATATTACTAAATCTTGACCGCTTTCTGTAATCTGCAGTCGGAATTCGTTCCGATTCCGCATTTCAATGTGCACTTTTCACCATCTTCAGCTTATTATTGTCCGCTTTTGTAATACCTTCCGACCTTTCAAAAACTCCGCAATTAGTAGTGTTTAATCACCTCATCGAGTGGCCAGGTCTTCATTAAAACATAACAATATAAAATATATATCTCCAAAATATTAAATTTCGAATTCTCGAATATATCCAAAATCGTTATCTCGCTCAAGATCTCGCGCGAGAAAATTTTGGAAAGACTTGCCGCTGGCTTCGTAAAGTTCGGGACCGTTAGCGAAAGAGATCGTTCACCGCCCCGCGCCAAGTCCTAGTTCCAGCTTCCAAGTTAAGTAGTGGAGGAGACTTTGAGATTTTGGCCTTTTTCTGAAGTCGAAGGAAGGAAAGAAGGAAGGCCCTTCTTCTGAACTGAGATTTTGGCCTTTTTCTGAAGCCGATGGGAGGAAGGAAGGCCCTTCTTCTGATTTATTTATTTATTATTCATCGCTGCAACTTCGACTTTAAATATATATTTCGCTTACTGCTATCGAGTTTTGGCCTTCATTTCCACGTTGTGATTTACTATCAGAAGCGTGGCTCGTACTGACGACCTGCACGTTCGATTGCTGAATTACTGCGCAGCGAAATGTTTGGGGTGAGGATCGAGTATTCGCAATGTTGTGAAATGGCGGACGTCCCTCGAGAGGCGCATGAAATTTCTGCCCAAGGCAAATGGGGACGCCGCGGTCGTCCGCGAGTCTGACACATGCATGAACCATCCGGTAAAGAAAATCCACGGCAGGCCACCTGTAAAACCTCGGCGAGTGTCTGTTGGTCCAGACAGCATAAACCCGCGTCCTACTGTTGTTCGCCTTTCGAAACTGCTGTGCATCTTTCCCCGAGCCCCAGAGCGCCCGAAAGATTCTGTCACATCTTCTCTGTGGATTCCTATAGATTCCCAGCCACTTGGAAAAGTGCAAAGGGCGAAGATTCTCGGGAATCCGCGTCGCATCTCGCCCCGCGCCTCTCAATCATTTTCCAAGATGATTGCCCTCCGTTGGATTCAACCTGCTTTTCCTCTTCGCGCCACGGGGAATATTACCGGAATCTAACAGATGCTCCCAGCACGATAACCCGCAGACCAATCGCAAGCGACCGGACCTTTCGGTGGACCAGACTTTCCCTCCGGCCCCCCAAATAGACTTCCCAACTCCCCCGCACCGACAAAGTACGCACTCGCTCGTCGGAATTCGGGTCTCGAATTTCGCTGCGTTCCGTGGAGTGCAGGGGACGAAAGATTTCATCTCTTTGACTCTTACCAACGATGTCCCTCTCGGTTACGACCTCCGACGAAAATCTGTCTGCAATGTTAAGACTTAATTTGACATGCGATGAAATTTAGCCCGGATTTCGAGGGACTATTTGTTGTTGATTTTCATGTACAGTACTCCTCGATGGGGTCTTCTCATCATCCTTTTTGTGAAATAAAATTATTAAATAAATTTTGAGAGATTTCGAGGGATGTTCATTCCGACGGTCTTCCCGGCAGCTTACCGATGCAATTCGTCAGCGGCTGCGAGCGCCGGAATGTTGCCAGGGCAAGAAGGAAGAAGACATCGAAACAAGCGGAGAGGTTGCGCAGAAAAGACAAAGAAAACACAGAAATAGCTGATTGGAGTCTAAAAAGAGTCATGGACCTGTGCGACAAGTTAGTGCCATCGGCACCGTCGGATTGAGAATCTGCAACTACTCACTCGAGTAAAGGTAACCACGGGTCAAACGCAGAGATGGACGAACTTTATCCACAGGCGAACACATTGTAGCCCTTGTTGCGTGAAGTCCAATTGACTGTCACGTACTGTACTCGGACTGTCCAAAGGCTTTCAGTCCAAATTTTTTATTCCGAGAATTGGACGCCTGGCTTGAAGGACTTCGTCTTAACAAGACTAAGATCGAGCCAAAAGCTTAACAAGGCCGAACGTACCAGACTAAAGTATCCAATACTGTGGCTACTGCCGACGTACAAAGCCCGGTACTTTTTCAAGAAATTTTCGTACGGTTGTCCCAGACTGAGAAGATAGCATGACAGCTCTTGACGCATGAATATGAAAGAAATTTACACACACCAAAATTTCATAAGTCATACTTTAAAGAAGAAAATTGCAAATTGAATATTTTGATTTAATTTTGCAGGGTTAGATTCTGATACACAGAATGATAACTTTTGAAATATAGATTTGACAGAAATGGAAAAGAGAGTCATGAACAGATGACTTGTTTACAAGGTCGTGAGGTAACCCATATATTAAAATTTTGCATTACAAATCTATGTATTTGTGTAATACAGAACACGCTGAGTTGGCAGCTTTTAACCTCTGCACAAGTGAACCTCTGCAATTTTTTGTGTGAGCTGACAAGAAAACCTTATCTAAAGGATGCATGGGAATAAATGCCGTTACAAGGACGGGGAAATTATGTGAGTGAAGTTTTGGCTTTCTGAGACATCTGGCCTACCCTAACAGCTTGTGATTTTCGCAGAAATTGCAGAAGCAGAGAGGCAAAAAATGCAATTTCTTCGTCCATGTCTGTTCGTAAATAATTTTCTATTCAATTTGAGAGAAGAAAACAGCTTGTGATTTTCGCAGAAATTGCAGAAGCAGAGAGTCAAAAAGTGCAATTTCTTCGTCCATGTCTGTTCATAAATAATTTTCTATTCAATTTGAGAGAAGAAAACTACGCTCGTCCATGTTTCCGCCGGCATATCCGCTGATTAAAAGTCTCGAGAAAAACTTCTTTTCTCAAAAATCAGTTGGGAATAACATTTTTTCGGGAGTTATAGAAGCTAGAGTTTTATTCTTGATTTATTTGAAAATAAATAACTAACAAAACATCACATGAAACAAAGAAAATCATCTTCGGTTGAGCAACTTGACATTTCTACTTGATATTCATAGTGAAATTTATTGATGACGTGAATTTGCAAGCTTTCATGGATAGAATAGAGATCACTCTAATGCTTTCGAACGACTGACGAGAACTCTTTAATAAAATGTCTAAGAAAAAAAAGTACTACCTTCTAGAAGTTCAAATTTAGAATGCAGCCCTTATCATTTTAATCTATAATACGATTTAGATGACGTGTCTCATTCTGAACATGCATCTTCATTACTAGCTCAATAACGAATGTATCTAAGCGTGTCTTATCTATATAAGCTTTCATTATCGATTATTGAGATATATATATATATATATATATAGATCACAAAAAAAGGTAAAAAAACCTTATAGAAAGGAAGTAGCATCAAAATATCAATTTAATAATTAACATTATCGTGCTGTACAATTGATAAAAATAAAGGTCCATGTTTAGAGTATCTTAAATTTTTGTACAAGTTTTGTACAATATAATGAGTTTCTAATATGTTCTGGAATAAAAGGCATGTATCGATAGAAAATGGATATAAAAAAGAAAATTGAAATGGATATAAAATAAAGTTTCAAGAAGGAAGGAAATTATACTAATAGTATATCATTAAATATGTCAGAAGTTAAATTTAAAAATTGCAACATAACTTATATCAGTATTAAACTTCAAAATTTTTAATCATCTATATTCTGAGCGAAGATCATTGTGTATAAGCTGTCAAGTATCAACAGTAAAAAGCAAAAAGAACATCAACAGCTAAAAATAAATTTTTTATTATTCAAACTACATATTTTCAAAAAATACAATATATGTTCCAACAATGCAAGAAGATCTCATATTTGAAGTAGAAATGACAACATTACAGACAAATTAAATTAGATCATGATGGTAAAACTGACATGTTATACGCAAAACTTTTAAACCATAAAATTAGAACATACGTATATTAGTAAGTATCAATTCACTATTAGTAATTATTTATGAATCACTAAATTTTAACATAATTCTATTAAATAATGCATATTCAAATTTCAAAAAATAATTGCCAGGTTACAATTACCTTCAAAAATTCCAATTTATTATAAGAATATACATTAATATCATTTTTTTGAAAGAACTCAGTTATATAGAGGATTTTTTTGGAATTCTTGCTCTGAAATAATGCTTGAATCAAAATTTTATCTAGAGAATTATCGTCTTAGCATACCATATGTTTGCAATTTTCACGTTGAAAATTCCAGTATTTATCAAATAATTATCTTTCAATAACTTTGTTAAGTAATGAGGATGTGTACCTGATTTCAATAAACAGATACATTAAATTAAATTTTCATATCTTGAATAAGTACAATCTACATGCACGTTCTGTAAATTACAATTTTTTAGGGAAAAAGTAAAGTAATTTGCATTATTGGTAGATGCTTCAAGCTTCTGACAAATGTAAAAAAACTTTTCAAACTCATTTTTTTGAAAACATGAAATATTAACAACGTTTTTTTATTGCATATTCATTATAGAAAAAAAACAGATCCCAACATCTTGCTTCACAAGTGCAAAACTAATTCTCAATGACAAGTTAATGTCGAGTTATATATCTTTGTAGGTAATAGGCATCATATTTTTTGGGTTTTATTTGTATTTTTAAATCTTATATAAAATATCATGATTTGATATATTATTTAAAATTCACATAAAATTCGAAAAAAGATAAAGAACGCTGAAGTTTTCAATTTATAATTTAAGTAATAATTTAAGCAGAAGCGTTTGATTTCAAGTAATTTTCGAAATTTAAGAAATGAAAATTTTTTATATAAAATTATTAATTTACTTTCAGAAATCAGATTTAGATTTAATTAATTAAAAATCATAAATAAATTTTTTTATTGAAATAAAAAATTTAGAGTTGTAAAACTCATCAGGTTGATTAATCAAGGTATGTAAAATTTTGTCCGAATCAAACTCTTAATTATACCTTTGATTTAAAAAAAATCATAATTAATACTTAGTTCAAATTTTATTCTATTTGGATGATTTTTTTCAAATAAATTATTAGTTAAAAATTTAAATTAGGATTTTATTCGTTGATTTGTAATTGATATAAAATGATTTGCAATATTGAATTATTTTTTCAAACATCTTGATTTGTAGGCTATTTTGTAACAAATACATTTGAAATTATCATTATCTTTCTTCAAATTCAAGCTTTTATTTTTGGATTGTTAAAAAATTGGATAAACAGTAATATTCTGAAGTACAAACATCTTATTTTAATTTCTTCAATTTTTTGTGGTATTGTTTTAATTTTTACTCTTTGTTCTTTTTTCAATGAATGTCATTAAATTTTTATATTTCAAGTAAAATCTGTATGTAAATAATAGATACATCGACTGAATATTCAGTTAATGTATCTATAATGCTATGTCAGCTATGATCTATCACCTGCTATGTAACCATCTTAAGATGGCTACCAAAAACCCCTGAACCATCTTAAAATGGTTACACTGCAGCTAAAAATGATGTTTTCATTTTTATTGATTTGAGAAAGCTAGGCAATTAAAATCACTTGGATTTTGTTTTCTTCATATGCCACCGAAGCATGTCCATTTTACAATCGAAGATTCAATGACTTGGATGAAATGTGATGAGATGTATCATGAATTAGGTTCAAAGAAGTAGTAAAGATGGTGAGGTGATATTTCAAATGTGGGAGAAAATTTGGATACGTTTGAAGTGTTTTCCTTTTATAATTCTAGATAAGTATCGAAGAATGAAAGATATTAGGTATGCACTTTAGGTCTGTGACTAAAGAAAATTGTGCTAACATGATTGTTCGAACATGAATGTGAACATGGATAGACTCTATCCATGTTCGAACAATCACGTTAGCACAATATTCTCTAGTCTAGACTACAAGATGTTGAACTGGAAAAGTGTTTAGATTTCAAAGATGATAGACCAATATGTCGTAACAAGTAAATGCATACATATATCAATATTATAAGAAGTTTGCATGACAAAGACAAAATGGTATCTTGCGAAACTCAAAGCTTGTTGAGATCCGACATATTATATAACCTAATGGGACCTCGACGAGTTTTCAACCAATGTCAACCATGTTCAAATACGAGTTTTGTGAAAACCAATGTAAGAACTAGAGGCGAACAGAGAATAGAGCTCTTGAAACGCTAGTGAACTCTCATGGGTAAAACTTCAAAATGCCACCCACAAGCGTGATTTCTTGAGATTCAAAGAGCTTTCGAAACAAAGTCTGCGGATGTAATTAGGAGCTCATAATTTCGGTAGTTGCTACTAGATCTTCCAACAATTAGAACGACGATAAGAAACGACGGAGACTAAGATCGCGACCTGAGCTTCAGTTAAGAATATGCAATTTAGAATTGCATTTTTATCACGACAATTATTTATAGTTTCTCACAAGAGAATTTCAACCTCATGGCCAAAAGACTTCACACTATTGCCGCCAACTCTAGTGACCAAATCTTGAATTGGAACATGGGTGATTGTTGGCTGCAAGAGTGTGGGTACCATCAGAACGCTTGGTACCACCATCTGGCAATTTTCTTACATACCAAAAAGAAATGGTATCAACAAATTTGGAGAGGAAAATGTGACAGAAGGTATTCATTTTCGCGCGTGGTGAAAAGGAAACGGAACATCGAGAGTTTGCCACGAGAAGAAACTCAACCGAGTTACATGAGACTGCCATAGTGGAGGCAACGTGGTTCATCGGCAACCACGGTGAAACGTGAGACAGAAACACGAGAAAGGAAGGAGGGCAGGACAACTCCACGACAACGAACGGCAACCTCTCGTTGCGTCCAGGTTTAGGTAGGGTTAGGGTTCGAGCTTCCGGAGCATTCATTCATTCATTCACTCCGGACCGATCCTGTCGTCAATTGGGTCCAGTCTCGAGGATCAATGCAGGTCCAATTCGCGGATCCCTGGAAAGCACCACACGAGCATTCGACAGGAAACAGCAGCCGGAAACAATCATCGTGGCGGCTGGCCACTGGAAATTCGTCAAATCGCTGTCACGAAAGAGTGAAATCATCACGAAAAAACACGAACGAAGAAATAACGAGAAAATCGAGCCATCGAATCGCCGGGCGTGTACCGAATTCGGAACGCTAGAATTCAAGCGTCGGGCCAGATTCTCGGAAGCAGGGGTAGATCGTCCGCAGGCAGGGTATCAGATCAGTATTAGGATCAGAAGCAGAAGCAGGATCAGGAGCAGGAGCAGGAGCAGGAGCAAGGATCAGTCATGGGCACGGCGGCAGCAGTAGCGGCAGCGGATGCGCGGTGACGCGAGCGGAAGAGGAAATTGCGACAGGCGGTAGCAATCGATCGACCTCGTGCGCGGGCAGGGTTTAGGGTTTCACAAAATCTCCTCGAGGATTCGAATTGGGCGACCGCAAATTCGACCCCGCGACGGTTTTTTCCGTTGCGCTGCGCATGGCTCCGATTCGAGTGTCGAGCGGGTGGCGGGCATTGTGAGCCCACGGGCCATCGCCATCACCATCATCATTACCATCGCCATCGTCATCGTCGTTGAGGGTTCACCGGATTTGGATTTCCTGCCGCAGGTGGCGTGAGGAGATCGGCCCTCAGGGCGAGGATCGGGCGGGGAGGAGGGTCCATGTAGAGGAGAGAGGGAGGGAGGGCAGCCGGAGAATTTCTCATGGTAAACGCGGTACAGGTAACGACTAATCCGATGTTTCGAGCAATTCGATTTCAGTCGCACCGCGGGCTCTTGCGCCGGCCCGAATCGCGCGTCGGTCAAAAGTGGTCGAGGGGCGGGGCGGCGGCTCAGAAGAAGGAGGGCGACGCGACGCCCGAGGCTTGTTCGTCGTCGTCATCGTCGTCGCTAGGAGGAGACAGGAGGTCGGTGCTTGATGCGTTTCAGCGGTACTGGCCGGCCACGCAGTCGTCGATCGCCGATGCAATTCCCCGATGGAGGGAGAAACCCCGTGGCCCGCGAAGCGTCGTAGATTCTCGCGTAGAGTTCGCAATTTCGTCTCGTGAGCTTTCGTATTATGCTGCGCAGCCGTATTCCGATGACGAGTATGATTCTTCCGACAATGCAGAGATGTTGTTCGATGTAGACAGCTGGAGGAGGAGGCTGAACCGCCTCCTCGCGAGCGATCATCAGGAGTTGATTTCCCGCGACAAGAAGGACCGCCAAGATTTCGCGCACTTGGGACCTTTGCTCCACGAGCTGGGTCTCTATGGGCAAATGTACTCGAAAATCGTCGTCTTCAGCAAGCTTCCTCTGCCGAATTACCGGCCGGACTTGGACGAGAAGCGCCCGCAGCGATTGGTGAGCTTCAGTCCCCATGTCAAAGAATCCGTGGACTCATGTCTTCAGAGGCATCTCATGCAGAAGAAGGAGTACCCGGGTTCGGAGTTTTCGAGCGACCGCAGCGATGGGTTCGAGTCCGACCGAGAGAACATGCAGCAGGGGGAGACTGAGCACTTTGGCACGAAGCGGAACATCGCCAGGGTAGAGGAATTGATGAAGGAGGAGAGGCAGAAGCGGAAAAGCTTGCGGATGCGGAACAGGCAGAGGAGCTGGCAGGAGCTACCCGAGGGCCAGAAAATGCTCAGCTTCCGTCGGTCTCTGCCGGCATACAGCGAGAGGGAGAAGCTGCTGGCCGCCGTGGCTGCGAATCAAGTTCTCGTCGTCTCGGGCGAGACTGGTTGCGGAAAGACCACCCAATTGCCCCAGTACATTCTCGAGTCGGAGATCGCTGCAGGGCGCGGTGCCGAGTGCAGTATCATCTGCACTCAGCCGAGGCGGATTTCCGCAGTGTCGGTCGCGGAGCGAGTCGCAGCCGAGAGAGGGGAGGAGCTCGGGGAATCTGTGGGTTATCAAGTGCGTTTGGAGGGGAAGAGGGGAAGGGACACAAGGTTGCTGTATTGCACGTCGGGGATTTTGCTGCGGCGGCTGATGAATGACTCGGAGCTGAAAGGAGTCACTCACGTGCTCGTCGATGAGATACACGAGAGGGGAATGAACGAAGATTTTTTGCTGATTGTTTTGAAGAACCTTCTCCAACGAAGACCTGATCTCAAGTTGGTGCTCATGAGTGCCACTCTTAACGCCGAGCTCTTCTCTTCATTCTTCGATGGAGCTCCCATGCTTCACATTCCGGGGTTCACTTATCCCGTCGAGTCTTTTTTCCTCGAAGACGTTCTCAAGCAGACGGGCCACTTTCTGACGCCCATGAATCAGATCGACGACTATGGACAGGACAAGCAGTGGAAAATGCAGAAACAAATGCGAGGTAGGTCACGCAAGAATCAAGTGAATTCGATAGCGGACGCAGCGTTAGCAGAGCAGGATTACTCCGATCTTCACTACAGGATACGAGATTCGTTAGCCTGCTGGAATCCCGAGAGCCTGAATTTCAACCTAATTGAGAAACTTCTAGCGCACATATGCAAGCAGGACAAGGAGGGAGCTGTGCTGGTGTTCATGACGGGGTGGGAAGATATTTCTGCTTTGATGGATCAGCTCAAGGAGCACCCTGTGTTGGGTGACACCGAGCAGGTCATGCTTCTGGGTTGCCATGGGTCGATGCCGACGGCGGAGCAGAAGTTGATCTTCAATCCAGCGCCACCAGGCATCCGGAAGATAGTTCTAGCCACCAACATGGCCGAGACAAGTATCACCATCAACGACGTGGTTTTTGTGGTGGATTGTGGCAAGGCCAAAGAGACTTCCTATGACGCTCTGAACAACACTCCGTGCCTTCTGCCTCAGTGGATCTCTCAAGCTTCTGCTCGCCAGAGGAGGGGAAGGGCGGGAAGGGTCAAGCCCGGAGTTGCGTATCATCTATATCCCAAAGCCGTGCACGATGCTCTGGATCAGTATCAGCTGCCGGAGCTGCTGCGGACGCCGTTGCAGTCTCTTTGTTTGCAGATCAAGAGCCTGGGGCTCGGAAGCATCGAAGAGTTTTTGGGCAAGGCTTTGCAGCCTCCGGAGCAGCGTGCGGTGCACAACGCCGTGCAGCTCTTGAAGACGATCGGGGCGCTGGACGACAGGGAAAATCTGACCGACTTGGGGCGCCACTTGTCGCAGCTGCCTGTAGAGCCCAGGCTGGGGAAGATGCTACTCATGGGCTCCATCTTCCGGTGTTTGGATCCGGTGCTGACCATCGCCGCGGGGCTGACCACGAGAGACCCGTTTCTGATGCCCATGGAGAAGAAAGAACTGGCAGACGAAGCCAGATTGAAGTTTGCTGGCGAGGATTTTAGCGACCATCTAGCTCTCGTACGAGCCTACGATGGCTGGCAGGGGGCGATGAAGCAAGGAATGGCAGGCGAATTCTGCTGGAAGAATTTCCTCTCCTCGCAAACGCTGCAGTCCATGTACTCGCTGCGCAAGCAATTCGCTGGCTTGCTGTCAGACGCTGGCTTCGAAATGAACCGTAGCAACGAGTTCAGCGGCGACTGGGACCTGGTGCGCGGAGTGATTTGTGCAGGCCTTTTCCCCGGAGTAGCCTCGGCTGTGCAGAAGTCGAGGTCCGTCACCATCAAAACCAAGGAGGATGGGCAGGTGAACTTGCACCAGAACTCGGTCAACGGACGAGAGTCACGACTGATTTACCCTTGGCTGGTCTTCAACGAGAAGGTCAAGACGTCGAGTGTCAACATCCGGGATTCAACTGGAATATCCGACTCCATTCTCCTCCTGTTCGGGGGAGAGGTGAGGAAGGGTTACGAGCCGGGCCACCTTCTGATGCAGGACGGGTTTCTGGAGTTTTTTATGGATAGAGATTTGGCCACCATGATTTTGATGCTGAGGGAAGAACTGGATGAACTCATCCAAAGGAAACTGGAGGATCCGGAAATGGACATTCACGCCGAGGGCTACAATCTGATACAAGCAATCCTCGAGCTTCTACATGGGGACGAGTGTCAAGGCAAGTTCGTGTACGGTAGGAAGGTTGCCAGCCACAGCCAGAAAGACAAACCGGTGCAAGAACAGGAAGAGGACGTCAAAGGTCTTCTACAGCAGTTGGTTCAGCGAGGGGGCAAGGCGCCTCCCAAGTGGAAGACGAAGGCTCTCTCTCGTGGAGGATTTCAGTCTACAGTCATCGTCAGGAACAAGTCTTTCCTCGGCAAACCAGCAACCAGCAAAAAGCAAGCCGAGAAGAATGCGAGCAAAGTGGCTCTGGAATGGGTTCTGCACTCCGACGCTCCCAAGGGCAGACTTCTTGGCAAGAAAGACGGAAATGCCGTCGCGAGTGCCCCCGAGGCTGCATTATCTCTATTTATGAAATCGGATGAAACGCTTAGAGGTGGCAAACGGTCGAAGAGAAAGTCGAAAGTCAGAATATCAACATGATAGGTCAGTTACAAGTAGCTTTGAATTTCATCAGTTTAGGACATGACAGTCAAATGTAAATTTAGTGGCTGAATCGGCCAATCAAAACCATACAGCGGGACCTTATTTTTGTAGAGTATGAGAACCTAGAACGTTTATTAGTCGATATGTTGAGAAGAGTGTACGAATACTGGATGAATTTTTCGGTAAATTCATTGTCCTGGTCATGTCAGGGTAGGCGTAATAACAAGGGCTGTTCACTTTGTACAGTCTGAAAGACTTTACCAGTTTAAACCGTGCGTGTATTCCAACGCCGATGGAACTCTCACGTAATTAATGTTCGCAGTACCAATTCTCAGTGTACATGGTTGAATGTCCTCTTTGCTTGTTTTCTGCTCGAGTGTAGGGCTGTGCTGAGCTTTAGGCGTATGGGCTGAACGAGGCAAGAACGAGAAATCTCATGATTGTTGTCGGAGTTCTTTTTTACTATGCTGCAGATACCTGATATCCAGATTTTTGCTCCTTCTGCATTAATCTCAACCCATTTTTGAAACACATTCAAGTAGACGGTCGAGGATTGAATCGCACGAGGAAACGTAACATGAGAAATAACACACCACCACGTTTATCTCATCTTTGGACTGTGACCGTCTAGTACGAATTAGTACACGCATTAGTACGCATAGATTGCTGATTTCTCTGTTTCTTCTAGTGCCAAAAGAGCTGTGGAAGACAAAGGGGTTAAAGTTGAGCATCGACGGGGACCGAACTAATAATTAGTAGATGAGTAATTGATTGTCTTCGACATCTTTTTTCGTAGAACCTGAAGAAAAACATTAATTAACAATTTACATGTAACACCAAGCTTTACTCAAGCATTGGCGAACCAACTCTGACTGCCTCCAGAGAGTCAGTTCGGTTTCGTGCGCGCGTGTGGAAAGCAAGGGTCGAAGACGTGAATCAATCTTTGTTAAATCATCTATTTCAATGCGTGCACAATACCAGCTCGTGGTCGTATGATCTCATCGGTCAGGCCCACCAGCGATCCTGAACACTCTCAGCACTGCTCCGGGGGCGGGGCAAGATAAGCATTTGGAGACTGATCCTCGCTCGTCGCAGGGCGTATAAGTACAACCCACGATTGCTACAAGAAAGGAAAGGCCGGCGTGCCGGCTGGCTCACTTCATTCTCTGGCCTTGGACATTCCTCCATACTCGGCAACACATTCTTCGGAGACACAAGTGCTGGATCCCGGCGTTCGGTCCACACTGGTTAGATCTCCTCCCCCATTTGGCACAACCGAGTCCTTCCAAAGAGCTCTGGAGGCTGCTGACTCAGAGACAGGGATGGATAGATGACAGACAGATCCCCCATTCCAATCTCAGAAGCGCGTCCTGCTCTCAACTCTGCTTCTTCTTCTTCTTCTTCCTCCTCCTCCTCCTGTAGGCAGGATCGATAATCTCACCGCCGGGTAGAAATCCATGGAACATTCCTCAGACGAGATGAGAGCTGTTCAGGGACTCGAAGCCCCACAGTGAATGATGTAGATTGATAGATGCGTGGCGAGCGAGAGGAGGGAAGCTGGATGAAGCATCCGACATGGATTAGGACTGTTGATACACAGAGAGGTAGATCGAGTCACTGATCTCTGGGACTCTTGCAGTCCGTGTGGGTGATATTTAGTAATCCGACTCCTGGAGCCTCCCTCTGAGCTGGGGGTGGGGGGAGTGACAATCTCTTCCTGTCTCATGGTGGTGACCCCACCAGCCCACCGACCCGACCCACCCACCTGATTGGAAGTTATCAGATCAGAAGCTATGTACAAATGGACTCATGTGCCGAGTCGCAGGGAGGCAGGGGCCCTTGCATACTGGTAAAAGTGCTGGAGCAGTGAGAGCTCGCAGCTCGTGCACTCGTCAACGTCGTATGTCGACAGACCCAGTCTGGTGCAGGGCTCACCAGAGGCAGATGTCTAGTCACAAGCGACGAGAAGACAGGGCACATCTTGCCTCCTGGTTCAGCAATCCTTCAGGTTTCCTGTGCAGGCTCAGCTCAGAGTCACCAGTTAGAATTCCACCTCCACCTGCAATGTCCACCTTGTGATTGTCAAATCATGGCAACCCAGAATCGCTGTAAGTGCCATGTACTCTAACTGTTGCTGCTCCAGCAGTTGCAGGGTCGGTGACGGAACCCAGGCTGGTTCGCCACGGCTAACCTTGGGCTCCTATTGCTACTACTACTACTAGTACCACCAGTCGACTGGTAGTAGGGGTGACCTTAATTGTGCTCATGGCTGCAAGTAGATTCGTGATCATGTCGTTGTCGACCTGTTGTTCTTGTTCAAGCTCACCTTCAATGGAGCTTCAAGAGACCAAGATGGAGGTTTTGTGAGCGCCCGAAACCGTCGTCCTGGTCTGATGCTGGGCTAACAGGCAACCCAAGCAGAGGCTTGAGTCGGCATCTCGGTGGTACATTCGAAGGGGTTCCTCCTGTTGCCGCCACTACGTGAGTGAGGTTTGAGATTTGGTGCTGCATCTTGGAAGCACAGGTCGAATATCCTGAGTACTGTCTGGAGAGTGTGGGGGTGAATTACCTCATAGCCTAGTCTAGTCGAGGGAGGTATCCCCCACCCTCCACCCTGCCGCCTGTTCATGCTCACGTTCTTTCTGCTGGTGGGTATCTTCCCGAGCCGGGAAAAAAAACCATGACTGCGCAGAATCAATGATCCTCCTCTAGTGCACACGGTGCTGCAGGTTCCCAGGTCCTCGTCTCCACAGGGAGATCTCTCCATTCTCCACACCCGTGCCCCAACCCCTCCCTCGGGGCAAGGTGCAGCAGGTTGTTGAGATGTTTGGACTCGTCATGGTTGTATTATATGTCTGTTTCGGGCACTGATTATGATGCTCTTGCGTCTCCCAGCAATTGATGATGATGCTCATGAGAGTGATGATCTTCGCATATTCCACTCTGTGATTACGCTGTGACCAAAGCCTTTCGGATCGAGCAACAGCACTAGTAGTGTCCCTGCCTCGTAGACTCTTCCTCCTGTTCTTCGTCTGATGATGATGCCAAGAGTAGTCCCATAACAGATTTTCTGAGATCCTCGGAGCAAAGAGTTCATGGGCTGCTCGTTCCAAGGTATTATTGGATGTTCGAAAGAAAGACACTCATTCACGGCCGTGGATGGTTAGCATTCGTTGCATTTCCATGTCCAGGGTCTCTATCAATCTGACAACTTGTGGACCGGCCTTAGCTTTACAGCTGGACGTATGCTCTCGAGCTAAATCTTGTCTGCGGCAGTTTCAAAGTTTGACGCAAGTGGATCTCTGCTCCACGCGGACACAAGGTATCTGCACAAGTTGCCTCCTTCACAACTTGACGTAGTTTCGTACATCTGAGCTGTAGGTTCAGATTAACAAGATTCAGTCTCTGCTGTTGGCAAGCATTGATGCCACACTGTCCCAGCTCGAGTAATTCGACGCTGGAAGGTGGATCACATGCCGTCATGGGGTCGACCACATCATTCATTCCTGGATAGTAATTGTGAAGGAAATAATCACATCGTGTCCCTAGCATGCGAACCGATGATGGTCCAATTTGCAATCGTAAAGTTGTAAAAACTAAATTCTGAAAACTTGGACCCCGTCTGCAAACTCTGGAGGACTCTAGAATTGAGACCTTTGTCAGGCTCGGGATGCACAGCTCCATCCTGGCATCTCCCTTTCGACAGGCCACCTTGGATGATTGATTGATGATGGCTTCCGGCCTTGAATTGTAAACAAATTATTGGAGCTCTTCGCGTTACCTCCCGTTGGAATTTATGATCCTCAAGTTCCATCTAATGAAGGTTGGCATGCGGGTTCAGCGGTTTAGGGTTTAGAAGCCTCCCAACATTCCTGCCTGGACTGCAGCCAACTCTCATTCGTCGAAATCAGTTGATTGCGTAGCAGTAAGCTAGCCCTCAATTGGTACATATCTGGAAGCTCGAATGCCCTTCAAGTCGGTGGATTTGGGTTCAATCGGTTTCAGTGCTGTGCCACTGCTGCTTCACAAGTCGTTCGAGAAGTCGAAGAAGCTTGGGATTTTTCACGAGGCGATGGACATGGGACCCAGACTGCTGGTGGTAAGAGCAGCGCCGGGAGGTGCCGAAAGCGAGGTTTCGAAGGCGAGTCGAGGAGACAGACGGATCAGTGGAGGCGAATTTTCAGAAATCACGATGAATTTGCGAACGAGAATCTCGAGAGAAGAGTTTTTGCATCTGCTGACAGAGCTGATTTATTTCGTGCTGTACATGCACCAGCAAATGCCCTGGTGCGTGCGATTTCCCTCCCCTGACTCTTCCATCGCTCATCCGCTCCGCTCTTGGAAAGCTGTCTCTAGGCTTGAAAAGCACGACGATGTCAATCTCGCTGGTTTTCACCCTTTGGAATTGTGGTCATCCCAGTACCTACGAGGAGCTGATAAAACGCTGCGAAGAAGAGGTCAGTTTGGTCGCATTGCTGCACTCAGTGTTTCAAATTCCTCCAGTGCTCATGCCGAAAGTCTAAGTTCGCTCGAGGCCGCAAGGTTTATAGAAACTGACAAAGATTCATGTCGGGTTTTCACAGACAGAAACAGAGGCAGTGTTTTCGAGGAGTTCAGGTGCTGGAGATTGCAATAATCCCGCTCTCAGAGGCAGACAGAGGCGGGAGGGGGCCTCGAAGTTGAGAAAGCTGGTGAAGCTCAAAGACCAGATAGAGAAAGTCGTTCGAGCTATGAAGTGTTGTCTGACCGGATTGTCCGACATAAGATCAGTGCTGGTCATTCTCGGCCCTTCGACCACGAGGCCCAAGCACGTCTACGAGGTTCATTTGCGGTGTCAGCTGATTGATGTTGGAGACGACACAGTCGAAGGTCGGCCCAAAAGTCCGGATTTGGCTCGCAAGGTGCTTCAATCTTCTTGTCCTCCCAACAATCCTCTTAAATCATTTTTGGGATTTTCGTTTTTTTCTTCCCATTAGAAGTTCCCTTGCTGCTTCGGGAGTAACTGCTTGCGTAGTTGTCAGTATAAAATTCGATTCTAGAATTCGCTCGAAGAGTTGTACGAGATATAATTGCCATTTGCTGTTATTGCTGTTTGACTGAGAAAACGCTCGGTGATGTGCTACCATTGCAGCTCATACGCGCACTGATATCAGATGGAGCAACCTCTTCGGCAGAGAGTAAGTCCACAGACACAAGGTCTGACTTCAGACTGTGGTTCACATGAGCCACGAAGGAGACCAAGCTCTGGCCTGAAAGTTTGACTCGTGCAACAGTAACAAGAACATCGTCATGGTCTGCGCGTGCAGGTGCTATGAAGTTGTTTTTGGTGGTTGGAGCTTCTGCAAACTCCGTTAGTGTGCCAGAGGACGTCCATCCCAAACGAGGCTTCGTTAACACCAGTAAACAGGTGCACACTCGATTTGCTTCAACCCGAGCAACGATGAGAGCACGATTGAGTCTCGCTATCTGAAGCGAAGCTCACGATCGTTTCTTAGAATTGATGTTCTTCTGTACGGGAGTGCATGTGACTGAGCTCGTACCGCCTCCGTAACGACTGCAGGGCTCCAGAACCTCTATACGCCTTGTCCAGAAGCGAGAAACAAATCTGGAAGCTGAGGTGAGCGGCATTTGCCTCTCAGATCCGTCACCCTCCACATCTCACGACGACCATTCAAGTGAAAGTCTTCGTGACAATGACTTCATGTGGTAAGTGTTCTCCCTGCATGCCATCGCCTCAGCACAAACCCCCCAGAGCTCACTTGACTTGCCTTGGACGCATGGAAAGACTGGTGCAAAGGAGTCGCCTACCTTCACGATTCTAACCAAATTCATTAATTCGTTTTGATCGTCTCTCCTCTATACACAGGTACCAATGCCTGCACACAGTCAAAGGCTTGTTCGAAGGTAACTTGGCGGAGGCCGCTTGAGGGCAAGAGCAGCAGGAGAGCACTTTCCCTCACACGTCCCAAAGTCTGCACAACGCCAACAGTATGCTTGAAGAGCCGAGCTGGCAGAGCCAATCTGAAGCTGTAGCTTCTACACAGAGGTGTGCACGCTGTGCAGGGCTTGTACTAGAGAATGTTGGCAGTGGCAGATAAATCATCCTCCTCCTCAGACAGAGAGAGAGAGAGTCTACACGAGCAGAGTTCTAATGCGTCAGAATGATACCTTTCATCAACGTCGGCTTGGGCTCCGCTGTAAATTCAACGTCGTCTGTCTGCATTGCAAGACGGGGGTCAGTCAGTCACCTACTCGACATTAGAGCCGGGTTTCCTCGCTCGGTGAACTTGACAGTGAGAAGGTATTTCTGTAGTAGTTACCCTCACTTGCCAGCCAGGTGCTGGAATGCACACTCATGAAAATCAACACAGTGCAAAAGAGGTGTGACACGCATTCCGACCTTGTAGCTCGTAGACAACTAACTGCAGGCAAAGTCATTCGAAGACCGCTTTGTATTAACATCCCCGTCAATGGACAGGGAGTGTTATGAACTATTTACCGATCAATGTCTACGTCTATAATAAATGAACGTCTCCTTCAAGCGACACTTTTCGGGCAATGAATTGTGGAATTTCCAGCTCGATGAAAGAGCGAGGCGGGATCTCTTCCCGCCATGTTTACACCTCAGAGGGCCCATTCAGAGATAATGCTAGATCCGGCCCATCCGCCAATTCCATCAGTCGCTGCTCGTTCTCTTCCGAGAAGGAGGGCGAACGCATGCGGTCGACCCCCGATCCTTTCTTTTCCAATAAATTTCTCAGTCACCCCGTTCCTGAATCCGCTTGCCTTCAATCGATGCTTCCCATCGAAAGCCCGAGCTGCCGAATACTTCTACACCGACGCAGCCGAGGCCAGATTTGATTTCTCAGAAATTTCTCGACGAGGCCGTGTACCCAAATTGCACCACCGCCGCCGAGTGCGCTCGATGAGAGAGATCATAATCCAGGAAGCTGATCGATTGGCTCCAAGGAGAGCAAGCGAGGACCTCCATGGCTGCCTCTCGCCATCGCCTCGAGGATCACAGTAATGCAGAGACGGCCGAAGAAAGACGAAAAAACGGCCGCAAATTGCGTGAACGATTCTCTACGAGAGAGAATGGGTCGCTTACCGGCGCCGGGAAGTGAGCAGCCAGTAGACGGCCGACGAGAGCAGGAAGCCGACGAACCACGAGTTGTCGTAGACGAGCTTGAAGGCGCGGGGAACGTTGGTGACGAAACCGGCGGACGCCAGGAACCCGGGCACGTTGGGCAGCACGCCGAGGACGAGCGAGGCCATGGCGTCGGGGTTGAAGCCGCCCGAGTACCAGTAGCGCCCGTCGGGGCTCATGGAGTAGAGGTCCGAGACGTCCAGGTGCCGGTGGCGCAGCACGAAGTAGTCGGTGAGCACGATGCCGCCGACCGGGCCCAGCAGCGCCGAGTACCCTATGAGCCAGGTGAAGATGAAGCCCTGGCTCGACTGGATCAGCCTCCACGGCGCCAGCAGCACGCTCAGCACGGCCGTGGCCAGGCCCGCGGTCCGGAACGAGAACGCAGTCGGGTCGAGGTTGACCAGCGCGTTGGCCGGAGCTACCACGTTGGCCGCGATGTTAGTGGTCACGGTGGCCAGGATCACGCCCGCCAGCGCCAGAAGCGTCGGCACCAGGCTGCCCACCATGCTCAGCACCTCGATCGGGTCCGAGATGGCGCGCCCGAAGATCACCACGGTCGCCGACGTAACCGCCAATCCAACAAACGTGAACGCCGCCATAAACAGCGGCAGTCCCAGCGCCTGCCCCACAAGCTGATCTGCCTGACTGTGCGCGTACCGCGTAAAATCTGCACACCATCCATGCAGCACCAGTCTCAGCAACCGTGGTAAGAGACAACCGACCGGACCATTGGAATCAACCACGCGCGTGACCGGCAGCGGGACGGTGACCGGGGAAGAGCAAGGTGATGGGACGGGATGGTACCGGGGATGTTGAGGCTGAGAGTGGCCCAGAAGCCGACGTTGGCAGTGAGCGCCGGGAAGAAGGCGGCCCAGAACTGGCCCTCCTTGGCGCCCCCGACCACGAACTGCGACTGCGCCGAGAGCATGGGCCCGAACCCGCCCGCGCGCCCGTACGCCCAGGCCAGCAACGCCGCCGACATCCCGATCAGCACCGGAGCGCAGTACTTCTCCATCTCGCGAATGCTCTCGATTCCGTTCCAGATGATTCCCACCTGCACATCGCACCACGCCAGATCGCCAATCCTCTCATTCCTCTATCGATCCACGACTGGGGAAGAACGAATTCGCAATTCGGTCGCAATTCGCGATTCGCAATTCGGAATTTGGAGAGAGGGAGGTCACCTGCATGGTCCAGAAGAGCAGGAAGCAGCCGAGCTCGGGGAGGCTGGTGCCGAGGAAAGGGACGACGGCGGCGACGAGGGGGACGGGGAGGAGCGCGTTGAGCAGACGGAAGATGGCCTGGCCGCCGATCCAGGTCTGGATGCCGAACCAGCCGCAGCCGACGAGGGCGCGTAGCAGGGACGGGACGTTGGCGCCGCGGATGCCGAAGGCGGCGCGGGATAGGACCGGGAAGGGGACGCCGTACTTGGTGCCGCCGTGGCCGCTGAGCACCATGGGCACCAGCACGATGAGGTTACCGGCCAGGACGGTGAGGATGCCCTGCCACCACGACATGCCCATCTCCACCAGGCTGCCCGCCATGTAGTACGTCGGGATGCCCACCACGAGCCCCACCCAGAGGCTCGCCACGTCCCACACCGTGAACGTTCGTTGCTCCGCTAGCGCCGGCGCAAAGTCCTCGTTGATTAGCGCCTTGTGGGGATTGCGCGGCACCCCCGGCTCGATGGGCTCCAGCAGCGCTGCCCAAGCGCCTGCTCTCTCCACCCTCGCGCCCTCTCCAGCGCCATCTCCAGCGCCGGCAGCACCAGCAGACGAGGACGACGACGATGCACGGCACGAGAATTGGTTGCCACCGATGCGATGAATGAGCCTCTCGATCGGGACACGAGAGGCCAATCCCCGTCTGATGAGCCAGGAGTGCACACGATCGGCGCTCGGGAGGACGATTCGGCGTCGCTGTCTCAGCAATCTGGCGCACGGAGAGGATTGCTGCTGCTGCTGCGAGGCGGTGGGATCGGGACCGCTGGTGCTGGTGATGATGCTGCCATTGAGAGACGAGGTTCTCCAGAAGAGTGGAGATGGAAGGTGGCACGAGACGGGGGTGGTGTAGACGATAACCCCTGGCATCGAGAGAGAAACCTCGCGACTGCGTTAATGGCCACGACGAAGACGACTACAATTCAGCAGCGCATTCCCTTCTCTCCTGCTTCCTTCCTGCCTTGGCGGACAGAGGTCGAGTACCCAGCCAAGGAAGGAAGGCAGAGAGGAGAGAGAGGGAGGGAGAGAGAGGGAGAGTGAGAGGAAGCGAGGGAGCGAGAGGTGAGAGACATTCTGATTATGAGGGAGCGGGTGCCATGTCCTGCTTGCCCGAGTGTGTATGTGGCCAAAGCTTCACCAGTCCCAAGGCTGTACTGAGTCTGTCAGGGTCCCACCACGAGCTCTGACCTCCAGATTCGCCTTCGTCCTCGTTCCTGGGCTGATTCTGGATTCCGCTTCTCCCGTTCGCTTTATTGCGCTTTATACCGCAAGAATCTCCATCAGCTGACCCTGCTCGCTCGCTCTTCTATGGTTGTCCTGTGCAGAGTCTTCGGACCGAGCTACGAGAGGTCAAACACGTCAAACTGAGGCCTCATGCTACTGCTTTCGGAACGCATCGTCTTTCCTTATTATGATTGAATGGGCTCGAACTCACACAGCGAACTCTTCCACGAGACTGCAGTTCGGGCTGTTGAATGGAAGTTGGTTGCATCTGGAAACTTTCTTTCGTACTTGAAACAATGATTGTGACAATCAAGTGACGTCGGACTGGTCTCTGGAATAGTGAGAGGGAGGAGGAGAGAGAGAGAGAGGCTCTCCTCTCGTCTGCCTGTGCGCCGCGGGTTTCATTGGCATTTCGACCATTCTTCTGATGAAGTTTGCCATTGAAGTGATTTTCCAGTCTACGGGTACCACTCTTTCTTCGGACAACGGAGCAACAAGCACCTCGAGTGCTCACAGCTCCAAATAAATGAAAGCGAACGGGCTCTGAACCAAGCGCCCGAGGAGAAAAGGGAGAGCACCAAACGCGCAGACAGATCCAGACGAAGAAACCCAGACTGACGCTCAGAGCATATAAATACGTTCTTCGATCGAGCTCTGAGAACAGCGAAGACTTTTCAAAAGAGCGCTCGCTGACTATTTGATCTCTTATCTTCGTGCGCGATAAAAATCCCAGCTTTTCATCGCAAATCGAGGCTGTAGTCAAGTTCATCATAAGCTTATTACGACGAGATAGAGAACGACGAAGCCTTCGCCATAATAGAAATCTACACAAGTCTGAGGCTCTCCGAATCAGCTTCACGACAAACTGATTAGATTCTGTACATGGCTACCCGAATGCGAAACCCAGACCTGTGGTACTGGTGGTGGATTGATCACAAGAAAATCTGTGGGAACCTCCATTCAGAGTTCGCTCACTCACTGTGGTAGACTCTTCTGAGGATTCACCATAGCCAATAACTCGAACATGAAATGAGAACCGTGAATAATAATAAATCCAAATTTCAACATGGGGAACGAACAATAACCGAGTTATTTTGCTCGGAATTAAAAGTTTATTAAATAATTATATACCTCCCGTACTATATGCAACCAACACTAGCCGATGCAATTAAGAAAAATAGAACAAAACTCGTCCCATCTTTTTTTCTGCTCAGTTGGCTCCCGAAGTGGATATATGCAAGCTATTCTTTCCAGTAAGGCGCTCTATTATTTGCAGTTCTTCATGAGCTGAATGGGATAGCGTATGGTCGTTACAAGGTGACCATTATGGGAGATGCTGCTGGATCATCAGGAACGATAATAGGATAAGTCTGAGATCCATGATAAACAAAAGAATCTTATCGACGCTGCCCTTGATCACGAGGTCGTAGCCGGATCGCTTCAGGCAATCGGGATGATACTTTAGGAGCAATTGATGTGCGATGAAATTACGGCGGATTTGGCAGATCTCATCCGGAATTAATAAACAAAAAATGAACCTTTTCACGATGTCGATACTCTAGAGATCAATGTGAAAATCCAAACGTAGTGATTCGCTTTATATGGTTCGATTTTAAAAGGTTCGCCAGGATTATTGGATCCATTGCGATTCCAGATTGCAGTGACTGATATACTAATCATTGGATCAGTATATCAGTATATAGACCTCTACCACCTCTTGATGTTCATAGGATTACCCTATTCACATCATCACATTAGCTCCTCTCCTCAAAGCCTGTGCCTTTGAGGAGAACCAAGTAAGTTATTTTAAAGCAAAGGCGGCCGAAGTGGATGGTTAAAAAAGATGGGAAGATATTATCAAGCCCATCGAAGGGCAAAACAAGAATAGACTTCCATACTATCACAATGAGAAATATGTCAAATATATTATCTGTCTATATTCAATATTGCAGTGTTGTCATATTGATTAGAGTATAAATGATCTGAATTATCTTCAAATTCATATATATGACAATGATAACTTCGGAAGATGATAGTAGACTTAGTGTGAAATGGTCAAGAACCTACTGTCGGATACCCTTGAAGTTGTCAAGGTCTTGATAATGATTTGATAGAATATATATTAAATTTAGTAAACACAAAGCTTAATCATGATGCAAAAGAAGTGAAGAAGAAGAGCATCTGTTGTGATGTAAAAAGGTTATCTCATTCTAGTTAACCGGACACGTGAATCTGACAGCCTGAATCTGTCTCGTTGTCATTTGTGATCGAAATCTAATATCTTAACTGTAATCAACTTGAAAATGCTTCTATGCAAAAATTGGACACCTGTTAAGATCTGCTTATACCTTTTTGATTTAAAGCAATTTAGAGTGTGAAAGTACATAATTTACTTTTATTCGGACTCTGCATATGTTCATCTGCACTTCATGTTTTTTCTTACAGTTGGATTTGAATTTGTCATATTTCTTTGGCAAACATGAATCATTTATTAGTCCAAAATATGCAATGATAGACAAATATGCAAATTCTAGATATACAGAGAATGTACATTCTCTGTATAACGTGGTTCAACTCAAGGGTTACGTACACGGAATAATACATGCCAGTTACATACGCTCGGGTGGTGTGGGGCAATTTGCAATCACAACAATTTGCTTCTCGTATTGACGAATTAGAAGAAAAGTTAACCAAAAACCGTATCTAGAAACAAAAATTAGTGGATATTGGTATTGTCACTGCACATATGAAAACACAACAATGCATGTAATGCAAAAGCATCATGGTAGGTATATATATATATATATATATATATATATTCAACACAATTGAACAATCTCAGTATAAATAATTAAACATGAGGTTATTCTTTAATTGAAGTTAATCTCAACATCATTATTGCGCCTTAAATTTTAATTTCAATGTTTATTTCCATTCACATCAATCCGATGTATTCATTGTAATTGTTAACTTTTTATTTTTATGTGATCATTATATTCTAATGATGTACAAATTTTATATTAAAATTTTGAATAAAAAAAATTTAACATCAACAATTGAAAAAAAATTGAATCAATTTGATTATATCAAAACGAAAAATGAATTTATTTATACTATTGTTAAGTCTGATGAATTCAATCCAATGGAAAAAATATTTGATATCTTACATATCAATAAGTTTCAAAAATGTAATAAATATTCTATTATTTTGCAAGAAACTTATTTTTAATGAAAGTGTCATAGATCTAATTTAGAAGATGAAAGATGTTTATGTGAAATTAAAAACTAGTTGGATTCATGTTTCAAAGATGTGATCAGAATAAAATATCTTTGTTTTTTTGTCAATAAATAATGGATGAAGATTTTGAGAGTAAAAATAAAAGTCTTGAGCGATATCTTAAAACTTTGGTACAAAGATATGTTCCAAAGATTGAAAAAGTTTCAATCTTAAGTTGTAGATTGATGCAAATTTGTGTGTAATCAAACGATTAGAGCTGATTAGAACAAGACAATGTTCATGTGAGAATGCTATTCAAATAACTGGAGAATGTAACATGACAGCTTCATCCATAAACTTTAAACTCTGAACTCATTACTTAAATTTGATGGATTATGTCAAATCCATACGAATATTACTTGTTGGTATAGTATATTCTATTCCAAACTTTTCCAACTATACATACATAATTTCATATAATCTAAATGGTGGAAAGAATAATTAAAACATTCTGCATATCTCTAAATTGAAATATCTTGGAAAATTACCTTTGGTAATCACATACTGCAACATTTTATATCACATAGTGTACCGATTGTTTCCACTTCTGCATACAATATTGCTTTAAGCTAATGATCATGAAATTGAATTTCAGAGAATATTAGTTTCCGAGCAAACCATATTTAATTTTGGATACACATTTTAGTTTACTAAAATGCGCGTGTAAGGAGACGTGGATACAATTCTGGTTAAGGTGGAAGGTGTACTTTGGCATGCAACAAAAGAGTGATAACGAACAAGTTATCGTTTTGAATACCGTACGTGGTTGGGTTGCGCCGGAGCGGACGACCGCGTAAAGAAGAACCACGTCGATCGGAGCCCCGTCTCTCAAGCACGAACAGTAGAGAGTGTTATCCTGAGAAGATCTGTTCAGCGTCTGCTGACGGGAGCCAGCGAGCGAGCGAGAGGAGCGTCCGCAACGACACCTCGCGCGGCTTCAGGCGCGCCCCAGCTCCAGCTCCGCGGAGCGTCGTCGTGGATGTCGATTTGAACGCGCGAGGACATGGACGCTCTGGCGCTGAGGGCACCGTTCCAGGCGCCTACGCGCGCCGGAGCTCGTTTGAATTGCGCGGCCCCGAAATTTTGTAGACTAGGAGGAGTGAGGGCGAGGCAGGATGTTCATGGCGCTGCCCCGAAAGCTCTCGAGCTCGAGCGGGAGGGCGAGAGTGCGGGCGTCGAGATTTCTCGGAGGAATTTGTTCAGCGCAGTGTTTGCTGCGGCGACGGCGTTGCCATTGATGCAGAAATTCGACGCCTCGGCCACTTCCTTCAGGCAGTACAATGATCGATTCGATGGCTATTCTTTTCGGTATCCCGAAGGGTGGATTCAGGTCCGAGGTGCCGGGGCCGACGTCTTCTTTCGAGACCCGGTGAATCTGGACGAGAATGTCGTCGTGGAATTTAGTTCGCCTTCGTCGTCGCGGTACAAGAGTGTGGAGGATCTTGGGACTCCGGAGCAAGCGGCCGAGAAAGTTCTGAATCAGTACTTGACGGAATTCATGTCCACCAGAATCGGGGTTCGTCGAGAGTCGAGCATCGTGTCCACCACGTCGAGGGTCGGCGAGGACGGCAGGCTCTACTACGATATCGAGGTAAGCGCTCTCGCTCTCGGTTTTACTTCTCCGGATCGTGAGCGGGCAGGCCCCATTCTACCTCACGGAATCTTCAGCACCAATCTTTGAATGACTTTCTGAACTTATCCATTCGCAAGGTGTGTTGAATGCTCTCTTTCGCAGCTCTCCGATCTAGAATCGTGTTGGGATCCTGAGATGTTCTTAAGCTCTCCAGTCCTATAAGTTTTCGTTGTGGTCATTTTCTTTGTGGTTTCGTTTCCACGAGGGTGGTAAGCCCTTTTATGCTACCCGTTTGTGGCTGCATTGGTATTCAGTGTTTAAGGGCAAGAAGCTTGACTTTTGATATGGTCTTTTGTTCCACATGATTCCCCCGGGGAGTTTTGTAGATCATTCCCTCTGTTTCTGCAATCTTTGAGGTTAAGTTTGTTTTAAGTTGGGCCAGTCAAACAAACTCAAGACTTGACGAAACTTCTGCTCTTTCCATTGGCAGTACCAGTCTGGTTGGGCTCACGAGTCTGGTGTGAAGAGGTTTTTTTCGGTAGGGTGAATGATCATAAGTTCTGGAGTGCTGATTTATCGTTGTGATCTCGTTACAGGTCAACGTGAAGTCTTTCGCCAACACGAATCAGCTAGCCGTGATGCCTCAGGATCGTGTGGCCAAATTAGAGTGGAGCAGGCGTTATCTTTCAGTAATAGGTGTCGAGAACAATCGCCTCTACGAGTTGCGCCTTCAAACTCCCGAGCGTGTGCTGGAGCAGGAGGGGGCCGACCTTCGGCAGATGATGACATCGTTTAAGCTTGTAAAATTAGACGCATAATAAAATTAGTGGGTATGAGTTTAACATCATGGCATGAGATATTCGGCGCATTCACTTTTTTCTTTACCTACTTTCAACATCTACGTTCTTTTAAGCTACAGAGCTTCATGGTTGTACGTCTTGAATAACATTTAGAAAAAAAGCGGCTTAGGAAACTATTGTCTCACCTCCGTAGGCCGGAGGATAGAAGTCAGTCTCATGTCCAATTTGACTTCTCATTTGATTTTTTCACTTCTCTTTCACTTTCTGCCAAAATCAAAATTGCAGATGGAAACTGTTCACCATTGAAGCATGGCATTGTATATTTTTCCACCGATTGACTTGGATGCACGGAGAGGTTGGTATAAATCAAAGTGTGACAGACGGATAACTTCGTCTGATACATGAGTAGGCAGCTTTGGATCAGGGAGTGAATGAATGGGAACAGTTTGGAAACATCAACCTTCATTGAACAATTGTCTTTCTTCTCCAGAAATAGTCGATGGCAAACTTGCCTAATTCGCCAGATCTTTACAGTCTCGCAATTGGAAGACTTTTTCGTTATCCATTGAAGGAGCACATATACAGGCACAACTTTCAAGTTTTTTTACAACTAGAAGTAACTCTTTACACCTTGACCCTTCAGAGACTTTGGCCCACATGGATCTTCTGATAATTCATACTGTTACAAGTGGTTCCGACGTTTCGTCTTAGAACCTTTCGTCATCGAGTTCTAATCCTTCGGCTGCTAGGAGCTGTTGAACAAGCTTTGCCTTGGCCGCCTCGTCTGCTTTCCTCCTGTTGAGTTCCCTCTTTTTCAACACGAGTGTGTGGCGGTTGACAGTGGTTTCAAAGTTCTTCAGCGAAGCCTGCCTCTCCTTGGCCAAAATCCGTCGCTCCTCCTCTGGATCCACCTGCGGTCACAAGAAACGCATCATTCGTTACGACCACAGTGCCCTGAGAGTTGAATTAGAGACCCACCGTACAGCCCAGAACTCACTTGCAGGTTCCACTTTCCTACTGCCAGTTTGACCTTTACCAAGAGCACACTAACTTCGGAAGCTGATTGAGGAACGGAGCTTGAAATGGCTCGAGGTCAATCTGATCCTAGATGGTACGGGATTAGCCTCGACAGGCAACAAGAGGTTTGATTTGCGAGGCAGGAGGGCAAGCCAAACAGTTCGTGGCGCGAGGACTGTCCCGGAAATACTGCAAATCACGATCGAACAATTCCATCAACACGGTGCTCGCCATTGAGATTAAACTTCGTAGGCACGATGTGGGAACACAGTACAGAACCGTAAGGTACGATTGGTTTGTTGCGCGAACCCCAACTGACCCACCGTTCCTGTCAGAACCCATTCTACGTTGACCTTGTACAAACAGCCGATAGAACACTCTCTGGCTGTCCATCACGTGCCGTTCTCGCCCCTCTTGGTCCAGCGACAGTCGTGCCAAACTCCGCCTGTATTTTGCCCCAACATCGTGAGCACATACACATGTATGCACACGATGTAGGAAGCATAATACAGCCACAGTTCAGCACACTTTACTTCGGCATGCTCCAGCGTCCATGGCGGAATGAACTGTCACATGAGAAAAACCTTGTCCCTAGATGATGCTCAAACGATGTCCTGTGTATAGATGGACGGTGTTACACCCTTGAGACACATCCAGCCTCGATACCCACATGCTCTATACACATAGGCGTTCGAACACAACACCGACTCTTCAATCTTCTCCTGGAAGGAAGCCTTCGGAAGAGAAGGCTTTTTTATGAAGGCACTAATGTCAAATTCGGCAGGTGCGGTGTCCCGACATCGTGCATTACGGTTATCGGCATGTCAAGCACGATGCGGGAAGCAGCATCATACAGCCACATTTTGGCACACTTCGCTGCACTTGCTTCCCCGAAGCTCCTCAATTTGACCCGTTCTCCTCATAGATGGCGTCATGAAACAGGTTGACATAAAGCAAAAGTAGAGTTGTACACAGCCCAGAGGACTGCGGTTGTAGCAAGGAGTAACTTGCCTGTATGAGGCGCAGATCTCGATGCTCACTCTCAACTCAATGAGCACGACATCATACAGCCGGAATTCAGCATATTCCCGTTGTACGACCTACGTTTACTCTGCCACTTGCTGGCAAGCAGAGAGCTCGAGATGAGTTCGGACTGGCACAGAACAGGAGGAGAACATTGAATGACATCAAAAAGCCATTGTGCAGTGCAGTGCAGGTCAGGGCAGAGCAGCCTTGGCAGATCTGGATTGCGTGAGGGATCAGTGATACGAGCTTGCATGATATGAAGTTCGTATCGCTGCTGACACTGCTCCCCACAGTTTGACACAGTTCGCTGCACATGCTTCCCCGAAGCTTCCGGTACCTGTCCTTGGCATCGCGCACTGACCCCTCGTTGCGGGTCAGTCCTTGAAACTACGAAAGCGGCATAATGTAAGTTGATGGTTCGGCTCTAGCATGCATGCTCGCAGGTCAGGCACGTCTTTATATTTGTTGCAAGCCTGTCTCCAGGACGGGGTTCATCCACTAAAAGATGAGGAACGAGAGTGCCTGTAGGTCTCTGAAGGTCTGTTATTTTCCAAGTCCAGAAGTACTTGTCTTGGGTTGCCTGTAAAATGCTCAAAACATCGCACGCATATTCTCAAAGAAGAGCACGATGTTCAGATCATTATACAGCCGTTTTTTGACAAAGATTAAATGCACAGTAAACAAGTTCGTTACCAGCTGTTAATCTCCACATTCAGAAGTATGTCTTTCATTGCCTGTATCATGCTCGACACATCGCAAGCGTATTCTTCAGGAAGAGCACGATGTTGGGTCTTTGCACACCCAACGACTGGTATGTACAAGCTAACATGTACATCCAAAAGATCATTACCAGCTGGTGATCGAAGGCTCATTTTCCAAATTGAGTGGGCACGAAGAGCAGTAAACACTAGCTACGAAGGGACGAATGTTTCGGGGGTATGTGATAGGAAGTACATTACCTTGTGACGTGCGAGCCTTCGAGCCTTGAGACTCATCTCTCGTTGTTGTTGCTCTGCCCAGACACTTGCCGCCATATCACCACGCTGCTCAAACGCTTTCTTCTTCTTCATGACCCAATCCATCCATGCTCTAGATGCCTGCATAGGAAGCCCCATTGACCGCAGTGAGTGATAGCTCTTCAACCATCAAATCATCACCCGCTACAAGAGACGAATTGCTCTGGTACTTGCAGAGGCCTACGAAGTCCAACAGGTGAAGGTCAGATACAGGAGCAGTAATAAGTGAAATGCCGCTAGACATCGACCTGCATTGGATTGATACGATGATCGAGATCATATTGTCTCCGCTGGTCACGGTCCATAAGCAGTTCATAAGCAGCTTGAATCCTTATGAATTTAGATTCTGCTGTCTCTCCCTCTTCTAACAATTCCTTGCTGTTATCATACACTGAACAATACCAGATCCCTTCAGTATATAAGATAGACATTGAAACCATAAACCCCGTGATACGAAGAACCTCGCATACTCCATACAGAAATCTTAAAGAGTTGAAGGTCCCGGAACAAATCAGTTGCTTTACCGTCAGGATGGAACTGCTTAGCCATTCTCCGATATGCAGCCTTTATTTCATCGTCCTCGACATCCCTGGAAACCCCTGCAGGAGAAACATCATCCGAGTCATAAGGTGACATGTTTCTTGCTCGCCGAGCTTAACAATGCGCGCACGTGATAATTTATTCAAGGGCAGTGACAATCTGCGGCCATCACGACCAGAAGACTCCGCCTGGTTCGCAAGATACAAGACGTGCCGCAGAGGACAGACAGACAACAAGCCTTGAAGTATCGGAAGGTTGTTGCTCTTGTGATCTGCTGTTACTGAAACATCTGAAAGAATATATTCCATAGATTGCCAGGGCACTGTTTTACTGAGCTGACGAGAACACGATATATCTCGTGTACTGAGCTCGGGCTAGCTTCTTCTGGATTGGAATGAGAATTTTTGACATGGGCCACTTCCTTGCCGCAAACGGATCTCGATTCAGCGCGAAGAACCGGCGGCTCGGGTTTCTATGAAATGATCGAGGTTAAGAAAAACAAAAGGTTGGGAAGCGAGCAGCAGCAGCAGCAGTAGCAGAAGCTCCTTGATCTTCTCGGTGGACGAATTGTGGTTCGGAATGGAAGGTGCACCTTGCAGGCCAGGATGGCTACAAGTTTCCATCGACAGGAGCAAAGGCTCGACCGACTGGCGACCGACGAGCCGAGGGCAAAGAACCCGCGCCTCTCGCACACCATAGCAAAATTGAAGCCTCAAATTGAAGACAGCAGGGCGTAAGCCAATCTCACCGAGAGTTTCGTAAGGCGACTCGTCCTCCTTCCATTGGGCTGCTGCCGCGCTCACGCGCAAAGCTCGTCTGGCCCCGGCGCAGCGGAAGCCATCGGGCGGACACTTCCAGATCGACTGCCCCCTCGATCGAGAGAGCGCACCACCGCCGACGAAAACCGACCGCCAGCAAGCTCTACCAGGAGCTCCATGCCTGCTCCCGGTGCCGGCGGCCAAGGCAGCGCAGCGGAGAGACGAAATTGCAGGCGCCCATCGTTGAGAGCAAATCCGAATCGCAGCCATGAGCGCCACAGAGCGCACGGTGCTCGAGTTCTTCTGCGTCGAGACCCAAGCCCCCGGCCAGCCCCCGCTCCTGCCCCAAGCGCTCGGCGTCTCACTCCGTACCACTCGAGCGACCACGACCGTGACCCCGACGGCGACTGCGACCGTGGCACTGCCCTGACCGGAAGTAAGCTGGTCGGTCGGTCGGTCGGTCGGTCAGGGTAGAGTCAGCGAAAGAGCGAGTGAGTTGAGGGGCTTCGACGCTCCACCGATGAATCTTCGAGACGAGAATTCCCGCGACCTGGAGAGATCCCAGATGGGACAGCGAGCCAGTTCTCATTCATGATTAGACCGACACGACTCCTCCGTGAGCATTAGGTCGCGCGTCCTAGGACCTCAACGTGGACGGACGCTCTCTGCTCTCGATTTGCTCGAACGTCGAATTCTCTCGCCGAGGGATCTCCTCGGGACATGCTCTTCTCTTCTCTCTTCACCTGAGAATAATCTAAATGAGAATTCCCTTTTCGGTTGTCTCCTGAGCTCAGTCCTGCCGCGAAATCTCGTCCCGAAACCTACCTCTACGGGGCCATCTGCCACCTCCGATATGCCGTCAAAGATGTAAATAATATCAAGAATGCGAACCTATGCCAAGTTAATTAATATTAAAATTGAAAAAATATGCTAAATAATATAATATAAATATGAAAACCCATTTTCAGCAAGAATTTTTAAATCATGAAAATTTATGTGAAATAATAAAATATTAAAACCTCTTGCAAATAATCTATTTTAAAAAATGAAAATGTATGTGAGATAATATAATAAAAAATGAAAATATATGCTAATATATTTAGTTAAAAAATGAAATATTGTGCAATATAATATAATATAAATAATGCAAACCTATGTTAAAATATCTATTATCAAAAATGAAAACCTATGCTAAGTATTACGAAGGATGGAAAATATTTAATCTGCGAGGCTCGAATATTCGGGAGAGACGAAGTTCTTTAGGGTTTGCGTGGGGCTCAACAGCGCTTGATGTCCGTTTCCGGGAGGGACAATACTTTGCCCCGTCCGCTGAGTCTCTAACCAGTGATTGTGACCGGAGGTTCTTTCGCTTTCGTCCGGGAGTCCGTCTTTCGAGGAGTCTAGTCTGGAGAACGAGGCCATCGGAGGACGATACTTGTTGTCCCGTTTGTCCTCCTCGGAAAAGGCGATGAAATCGCGATCAGACACGTGGACGCACCTCATTCACCGGAACATCAAGCTTACATAGATGCTGACGTCCGACTGATGTGCAAAAATTATAAACCTTTCGGACCGGGACATCGTGATAACAGAAAGGGGAGTTGCCCATTGGATCCTCTAAAGGTTACCCGAAGGAGTCGATGCGAAAGGGTCGAGAGGAGAGACGGCCGTCGACGGCGCCCTCCGCCGTCGACGGCGGAGGGCGTCTAGAGAGTGCGGGAGTGGTGGTGGGGGCAAGAGTGTGGGGGATTCTGTGGCTCGAGGACGAGGACGAGGCGACGACGAGGAGGCGATGGTGCAACTGTTGAGACGATCTCTGCGACAAGACTGAACTGAATTGCGGTCGATGAGAGCGAGCGAGCGAGCGATCGAGCACGCCTCGAGCACTCAGGGATGTTAAATGGCAAGGAGCGTAGCTGCAGCCGTTTTCAGGCGCGTTGCCGCTAGCTCTCAGCAGTCGTCTTCGTCGTCGTTGTCCTCCTCCACTCCGCTCTCCCAATGGACTAAAAGCGCTTGCGGTGAGTCGCGATCCGATGCCGAAATCTCGATTCTCTCCTCCTCTATCTCCCTCGAGGCTCGATCTTTTTCCGAATTTCTGTCTCGCCCGATCTAATGTCTCGATTTATTTGGAGTGGTGCATATTTCGTCGTCAATCTCTTCTCGTCGATCTTCCTGCAGCACGTGGCTCGTGTCGAATTTTAAGCTCGGCCCGATTCGTGGATTTTATTAGCGCGCGCGTCGTCGGGGATTTTTCCGTTGGATGTGTCGATGCGGGAAACCCTAGAAACGCATCGTCGGGTTGCCATGTTGAATAATAGGGAGATCCAGGAAGGGATTTTAGGGTTAAGTGGATTCTGGTACTCGCCTGGAAAATTGTGCAGCCCGAGCGTCCTGTTCGTTCATGGGCCGCCTTTTGTCGGAATTGAAGTCGCGGAGTAATGGATGTCCTGTCGTAGTGTCCGAGGGATGTCAGCGTCTCGGAGAATTCTGGGTTTAATTTGTGTGTGATGTGGTCGAGCAGATGTTGCGGGAGAAGAAGCTGGGAATTTGTCTCCGCTGCTGAGACGATGGATTACGAAGAGTGCTTTTCGGAAGGAGGCAGCAGGATCGACCCAAACTCTGCCCAAAAGATTCAACCCGAAGAAGTCCGGGGTAAGTCGCACAATCAGCCAGAATTCGCAAATGGCGATTCGCCTCAAACGATTTCTTACTTGTCCTTCAAACCAAAATTATGAACCGCTTTTATTCACGCCTTGGCTTTTCTCCGCTCTCCAGGGTTTGAAGCCACAGAAATATGGAAAAGAGCTGAAAGCAGCACCGATCGCGATCCCGACCCCAGTTCGGCCCCCCAAGGTGCGCAGAGGAGTGATGAAAGTGCGTCCTCCCGTCGTCACCGTCATGGGGCACGTGGATCACGGGAAAACGTCGCTCCTCGATGCCCTGCGAGAAACGTCGTTAGCTGCGAAGGAGGCAGGCGGGATCACGCAACATTTGGGAGCCTTCGAGGTGAGCATGAAATCTGGGGCGTCTCTGACATTTCTGGACACGCCCGGCCACGCGGCTTTCAGTGAGATGAGGGCGAGAGGGGCCGCAGTCACGGACATCGTGGTGCTGGTCGTCGCGGCAGACGACGGTGTCATGCCGCAGACCCGCGAAGCCATGAAGCATGCTCTGGCTGCGAAAGTGCCAATCGTCGTCGCCATCAACAAATGTGACAAACCGGAAGCGAATCCTGAGAAAGTGAGGCAGCAGCTTGCTGCCGAGGGGCTCGAGCTGGAAGACATCGGTGGAAACGTGCAGGTGGTGGAAATCTCGGCAACCAAGAAAATGGGCCTGGACCAGCTCGAGGAGGCATTGCTGCTGCAGGCCGAGTTTATGGACCTGCAGGCCAGTGCTGAGGAGGATGTCCACGCCGTTGTCGTGGAGGCTCGCATCGATCGTGGTCAAGGGCCTCTGGCCACTGCCATCGTCAGGGAGGGGACGCTGACGCCGGGGCAGTACATCGTCGTCGGGGCGCAGTGGGGAAGGATAAGGGCGTTGAGGAACATGTTGGGCCTCCAGATCCCATCCGCTGGCCCTTCGATTCCTGTAGAAATCGATGGGCTGAAAGGAGTTCCGGAAGCAGGGGACGAAGTGGTCGTGGTAGCCAACGAAGAGCAAGCGAGGAAGCTGAGCGAGGAAAGGTTTCTGGTCATGGAAGCAGGACGTTTGGAGAGGCTGAGCAGGCACAACTCAGATTCCGATTCCGACTCCCTGGAGACTGAAGAGGAGAAATCAGAGAAGAAAGAAATGGTTGTTTTGGTAAAAGCTGACGTCCAAGGCACAGCTCAAGCCGTCAGTCAAGCTCTGGAAGGGCTGAGCAGTGCACAGGTACGTCAGACAAGTCCTCCTCACGCACACTCATCTCTTCTGGTAGACAGTTGATATCTATGTGCACTGGAGGGGTCTTCATAAACAAATCCACAATTCCAACAGCAGTCTTTGCACTGGTTCTGCGCATCTCTGCAAAACAGAAGAGATATCTAGGCTTCGTGACGGACCTCCATTTGCACGTAGTCAGTAGGAGGAAGTGCAGATTGCTCTTGCTCTTGTTCGTTTTTGGGGCCGGAATGAACGATTCTGCAGTCTGCTGGTTGTGACCAAGTGGTTACCTTTTTATATTGGTACACGTGCAGCGTTGTCACCACAACCTCGATCGGTCCACTTCATCAGTGATGAGCATGTTTTAAAGTCAGAGATTTTAACCATCCATGTATTATCTGTAGAGTTCGATCTAACCTGTGTCTGGGTGTTTCAGGTGGCCGTGAACATAGTCCATGCCGGAGTTGGGCCGGTGTCGCAGTCTGATGTTGCACTGGCGGAAGCATGTGGAGCATGTGTTGTCGGCTTCAATGTTCGGGCAATGGCAGGGGCTGTGGATGCGGCGGCGAAGCGTGCGAAGATCAAAGTGTGTCAACACCGAATCATCTACCACCTGCTAGAGGACATCGGCAAGATGATAGTAGGCATGGCTCCCGGAACTAAGGAGACGAGAGTAGCCGGGCAAGCTGAAATTCTGAGCGTTTTCGAGATCAAGGGAAGGGGACGAGAGTGCCGAGGTGCTACCAAAATTGCAGGCTGCAAGGTGGTCGAGGGTAAATTGACTCGGGATTCAAGGATCCGCGTCATGCGGAGTGGTGAGGTTTTGTTTGAAGGACCGTGCGCATCGCTAAGGCGAGAGAAGGATGACGTCGAGACAGCGATCAAGGGCACTGAATGTGGGATTGTTTTGAAAGACTGGATAGACTTCCAAGTAGGAGATGTCATCCAGTGCATCGAGGATGTCCGAAGGATGCCCAAGTTCGTGTCTTCTCAGAGCGGTGCCGTGCGCATTGAATGCTAGGATTCGGAAGCTCAACCAATTTTTATCTCCATCCATCAAGCCTTACATCATATAGGGCTCTTAGTATCTTTTTGCCGAGTGTAAAGAGTAATTGTTAAACGGGGTAAAAAAGCCCTTTAGTAGGTAGATAATCTGTTCCCACTCCTCACGCAGTCATTTGTGACATCTATGAAAAAGAGGAATAAAGATGCAGCCATACTCTGCTGTCTCTCACTGCCGAGAGAGATATCTATGAGGACCTTGCAAGTAATGTTTTTATCGTTTCTTTGGGCTTCATACTTTATACTACGATTGTCCAAGCGTTTATGGCGTCCTGTGTCTATTTCCTTGTTTTCTGACTTGTTTCACAGTTCTGATCCTTGTTCTGGCCAGCGGAGATTTGGCTCTTATGCATTCACACACACTCAAATCTCAGTGAGCTGATTTCTGTCGAGCTTTCGATTGTAACAACTGTGTCGATTATCTGTCACTTCCTCGATCCTGGGTCTACCCTGGGTCTACGCCCGTATGGTTGGAGCACTTGGGTTCGCACCTTGTTCCGTGCAGGAGTGATTGGATCGAGACTCTCTCGTATTACGGTTCATGGTTTCACAGCCGAGAGGTTTCCTTCTTTTTCCTTCGAGATCAGATCTGAAGTTTTTGTAACATCTTTATGAGGAGAACGTTTCAGTTCTTGGACGAGATCAAGCGCATTTCCGATTCCTCGCCGTTTTCTTCAGCAACTTAGACTTCTCTCAGAAATAGCTGGATCAGAAAATGATTCTGGTTTCTCTTGTAGCTTGACCCTATTCTACAGATGTCTGTGAAAGTGTATATCTTTCCCAGGCAATCTCAGACTCCTCAGAAAAGGGTGGATCAGAGATGATTTCTGGATGGTTCCCTTAGTATCTGTGACCCATTTCCACAAATGTCTGTGAAATTGTGTTCCATGATGTCTTCATGCTTCAGGAGTCACACACAAGTCGAGGCACGTCCCTACGGTAAAAGCTATGGATGAATCAAACCAGGTTAGGTGTCGATCGGTGTATTTTGTCATCGCTGGACGGTTGAGGAACGGAGTCCAAATCGCAAGTTGTAGCTCTTGCGAGCAAGAATGCGCGCATCGTTGTAATAGCTTGAACGTGGAATAGAATGGTTAGATAGATATGCAGGCGATGCGGGGCACAACCTCTCTCGTCAAAAGCCATAACACTGTCGACCTTAAATCACTTCTGCAGTGTTCTGGATTTCAGATTTGTCGAGTCGAACCTCCAATGACTCGTGGAGTAATGCACGGAGTTCATCAGCCCAGGTCGCGAATGTGAGGGAAAAATTCCCCGTAATGCATCGTCTTGAGCACTCACTCCCTGTGCTCGCTCAATCATAATTTATTCTCTGATCTGATCTGGCCTGATCTTCAGCGCAGGTTTTTCAATTTCACACATCTGGGGGACTCTGGGCAGAACAGGGATGCAAGCAGCATATCGAATCTCTGTAGTCCAGACTATGGAAGCAGCATTGCCCACTCCTTATCTTTGCAAGGACTTAGATAGATGTCACCACCTTACCTCAACTGGAATCGAGTGGCAGCAGAACAGCGTCACCTTCCAGAGGCACAGTGTCTAAAGTATACTGGCCCGGGCAGTGGCAATCGTAGCCAAGAGTAGACAAACAGACGACTGCTGATCGTGTGGTGACAAGCACGATTCGTGACGACCAGATTACACAACGATCACGAGAATTGACGAATGGGGAGGCAACCACGATCCGCTCGCTTCTGGAGATTCGCCACAAGAGGGTTCGGGAACATTTAGACCACAACTCGACGCGAATCGGTCTGAGATTTGAACGCCTCACCTCCACCATAGATGCATCTCTGAGATCGAAAACAAATTACGTCTTCGCAATCGTTCGTGCACAGTCGGAGCAAATTGAACATCCAATGAAATCAGAGCCGGGTCAAGACGGCCTTCAATTCAAGCACACAACATTTCAATTCAATTCAAGCCTTCAATTGAAGCGAGCCGAGACGAAGATCAGCAATCAGCAATCATCAGCCACACACGCACACAATCTCCATTCTCCACAAGGTGGTTGATGATGATGATAATGAATGGATCGGGTCAGGATTTGCTAGAACTATATTTCCAAGTGATTTTAAACGGATCGGTACAAGTGTTCGTCGTGAGCTCTGATCAGGGATCCAGGACCTGCTCGGCAGCAGGATCTAACTCGACGTGCACGCCGTGGGGCATTTTGCCGAGGAACATTTGCTTGATGGGGCATTTCTTCGAGACCTCGACGAGCGCAGACCTCTGGGCGTCGGTCAGATCGCCGTCGAGGCGCAGGAGCATACGCAGCCCGTCGGGCAGCAGGCCCATCCCGCCGCCCTGCTCGACCACCGTGACCTGCACGTGGCGCAGCGACCAGCGGCGCCGGTCGGCGTAGAGGCGCACCGTCATGGACGTGCACACGGCCAGCGCGCCCAGCGCGTAGTCCTTGGGCTCCGGGGCGCTCCCCGCCGCGCCCCAGCCCGCGCCAAGGTCGCCCCGGAAGGTGTGCCCTCCCGCCCTCACCACGTGCTGGTACCTCGCGCCGCTCTCATCCTCCGACGACACGGCCACGTGCCCCTGATACGACTGCGACGACTGCGACGACTGCGACGACGAGGACGACGTCGCGCACCGGGTCGCGGCGCAGCCCTGCGGCCCCGCGGGCGCCATTCGCAATCGGCACCGAACTCGCAGCGCCTTCGACATCGACATCGCCATCGACATCGGCAGCGGCATCGACCTCAACATGGTCTCGTCTCTTCCCGTCCCGTCTCGTCTCCAAGAACCGGCAATCCCCCGCTGCCGCTGCCGCTCGCCTCTTCCTCCTCCTCCTCCTCCTCCTCGTCGATGGTCCCGCGTTCGTTCGTTCGCTTCTCCGGCCTTGTCCCCGATTTCGCTTTTCTTTCCGCGCGGATTGTTCCGAGGCTCGGCCCGAACGAGCCCTAGGATCGAGGGCCCGAGCCACAACTCCCGAGCGGGTTGACGTTGGGGATTCTCGGGCACGAACGAACGTTGGGTCGAGTGGATGAGGGCGGGGGCGATGGAGGACGGTGTGTGGGTGTTTTGTGTGTGTTCGTCAATTCCTCGTGTTGGATGATGTTTCGGGCGAGGTTTGATCGGAGGGTGCATGAAGTCGGTCGTCTCGACGGCACAGCAAAGCTTTAGCTCGCTCGCTCGCTCGTCTTGTCAGTCGTCCTCGGCAGGTGTGAGGCAATTGTTCTCGGCGGCCATTTCCGCATCCTCTGCTTCCCGGTTGCGAAGGAATCGCCGGGTTTAGATTTTCTAAAATCCATGTGCTCAAAGTCAGATTTAACTTTTTGGGTTTGTTCCAGATGGTTGTTTTTGGATTTTGGGGATTTTTTTTCTCTCGCTGGAAACGAGAAGGAACTCGAAGATTTTTGGAATGTATTGTATTGTATTGTATTGCATTGGATTGGATTTGCACTTCGCTTCGAAAGCGAATTCCGCGAGGTTTCACAATTCTTGGCACCGCGGCTCTTCCTTCAAGATCTGCAGGTCGCTCGCTCTTACACGTGAGTGAGTTCAACCAGTGACAGTAACGAGCCCTCGAATCTTGGGTGTCATTCTCAAGCACGTGACGCCAGTGAGAAAGATTGCGAAGATTTTGCGTCTGGATCGTCGACGAGCTTGCGCTCAGTCAGTCAGTCAGAAGTAATCGGAAGCTCTGGATTTCGATCGTGCAATGAGGAGCTCATTCCGCTTTCGATTTCGCTGGCGCCGGCCTCCAGCTAGCTCCTGGGGATACCATTCGACTCTCGGGATCCAATACTTGGAGATGGCGATGCTACAGGAAACACCAGCACGGAAAGAAGTCGCCTCCACCCTCAAACCTTCCATCACCCGATCGATCCTCTGAGCCAGAGCATGGATCGGTCTTGCGCTCTGCTCTGCTCTACTCTGCCAGCACGCGAGGCCTCGACGCTATACATGTCTTGAGCTCGGTGCTCGCGTGACTTAGCAGCAGCAGCACAAACAGCAATCAAATGCGAAGATGTTCAAAAGAAAGATGTCCACTGCATTCAGATGCAATGCAGTGGACCAAAGTCAGCTGCCTTAGATTCATCTCTCAGGTCGCAGAAATGGCAAGACCAGTTTTCGCTTCATGATTGCTGCTTAGAGTCAACTCACCGCTCAGCTCTCGGCAATCTGAACTCAAACATGGAGTCGAATGGTCTCGAGGCAGGAATTTAAGGAATTCTGGCTTTTGAGGGCTAGTGTTCGTGCCCTGAACTCCAGCAGAAGACCATACCAGTTCATAACAGAGCTCACGAACCGGCAGTACGAGATCTATCCTCAAATCTGAGCTCCAAAATCCCACGAAGCCAGCTGCAGCTAAGTGTTCCTTCCAAGCTGACGTCCTGGGTCGTGAAGCGGCCGGCGAAGGTGATGGAGAGCTGGCCGAAACCACTACGCAGCTCGTGGACCAGCCGACCTCGTCAATGTGTGGCATTTTCAGCATCCAGTGCCTCGAAGTGTGCATTCGGGTTATGAGTGGATAATTTCAGACGGTTCAGCTCTGTGTTGCTGCTGCTGGACTGTGAGGTGCTTGCACAGATGGGCCGGGGGTCTGAATGAGTCTCTTGAGCTGATTGAGCCGCCACTGACCAGCGGAAGTTTCCGCGGAAGAGATTCGTCGTCATTGGTTATCAGGAGCTGGAACCACGAGCAATCGTTTCAGAGATGGGAGGAGGTACTGGATCATGACGTTCATTCCTGTCTGGAAATCTGAATGAAGATCGCGTCAAACCAACAGCAGCGAGCGTCAGGAACTGAACATGGCAAGGCAGGTCGAAGGTTGGCAGGCAGAGCAGCCCGTGAGAAGCGCTACGAAGGAGTCACCACACTGTATGATACTTTCACGGCAGTTGTCTCAGCCTCCATGATTATGGCCGTGGGCTATGATACTGGCATATCAGGTTTGACTTCGTGCTCTCACTTCCTCCTACTAGTTCAGAGGTTCATTTCCTCTTAGAACATCATGGGCCCCTTCTGGTTGTGGCTCCTCCTTCCTTGTCTGAGTGTGGAGCATATGGTCATGAGCTTCTGGAAGGATTTCGTGACATCACTGCACTCAATTCGTGGCACAATTGTTACACGTCTAGGAAGAACTCAAGGAAGGTTTTTCTTGCTAGAGCTGAAGGTAATCACAAACCCTGTTGGGTACATTTCTGCCAACAGTCTGAAGGTGTCCTGTCGAGCATCGGGTACAAAGAGAATAGCTTTGGTCGAAATTGAGTACTTTGTTCCGAGTTAGGGATTGACAATGCCAGGGCTACTTAGCCTATCGAGCGTGCCTCGTCAGATCTTCCAGAGCCGTCACTATCTGTTGCCCGAAAGGATGCATTTTCTTTGTTTCCATTATGCCTTCACTCGGCTCCCACCATCGGGACAAGACTGGAGACGATCCAAGTTCCGCTGATGGATAGGGGAGATCTCTTTCTACAAGTTGACGTGAATCGTGTGCAAGCTTTCTTGTAGCTTTCATGCACGAGTGGATGAGCAGCATCACCAAGCTGCAAGAGGAAGAGGGAGGCTCTTCGGTCCGTTGAATCTCGATTCATTTGTGTCCTATGAGAAGATGGAAGTCGAATATCTGACAGCGCTCCATGTTAATTTTTTTTTCAATCCACTGAATGTTGTCCTGAGATCTGAAGAAGACTCTGAGGGATGATCATGAACAGGAGGCGTGACAGCCATGAGTCCGTCTACAAGAGTTCTTCCGGACATGTATCGACAGCTGGGTGGCAGGTGAAGGTCTGGAAGAATGTCAAGTGCAATCCTCTAAGGGCCTAAACTGTACCTCGAAGCTCATAGCAATGGTTCATAAGCACACGAATACCACGATACACGATTAAGCATTAAAATCTTTGATAATTTTTCCATTTTGAGAAATTAGAATTCTAGAACGGTGGCTTGAATGAGTATAGTCTCAAATAAAATAACTTGCGAACTTGATGAAATTTTATCGTAAATATATCAATATCAAGTTACAAATGATTAGATATCAATTGCAATTTTTCAGAGTAATACAGAGATGTATATTTTACAAGTGAAATCAGTCACCTGACCTCTGATCATCAGGAATTAGAATTGCAACTTTATGTACAAAATTTTATTGAACTCGAAGTCTACACGGTCCATGGCTTTTCCATCTTGAAACACGAGTTTTATTCCTGTTCAACTCGATGTACTGAGAGCACAGCAGTTTTTCTATAAATGATGCGTCGTTTCTTAAGCAGCAAAACAAAGGGGTGCTAATTCTGGATGTGAAACGCAAGGAAGACGTAAGAATCCGAGAGCAGTCCTGAAGAAGGACTATAATCTAACGGACAAAGACCCTGAAGCCTCGGGTCCGAAGCCGGACATGAGGGACATACGAGCAGCACGAAAGAGGCCGCCGGATATGGAAGCTCCGGCACCGAATTGGCGTATTCTGGTTTCCGGTCACCAAGTGTTCACTTTGCGGCAGTTCCGGCGGATCTGGCCGCGGGCTCTTACGCCGATGGCGCCCATGGCGCGCATGGCCTCACCGAACTCGGAAGCGAAGCGGCGTCCGTCGTGCAGCGACGCGACGATGTCGGTCGTGCGCCGGTCCTCGAAGAGCGCCTGGTCCGACGCGAACAGGCCCTTGCGCGCCGTCAGCCCCAGGAAGTAGTCGGAGTCCAAGGTCTGAGGCGTCGCGGAGTCCATGGCGACCTCCACGCTTTTCGCGACCGGCGCGTTCGGGCACCTCCTCTTCAGCTCCTCGGCGTACTCCGGGTCCAGCGACGGATCCGTCGGGCGCGCGGCGCTAAAGTTGTAAAGGCGCGCGACGACCTTGTCGCAGTGCCCCACTCCCGAGCTGTGCGATCCTGCAAAGGTTTCGCGGGCGACGGCGTTAGCTCCACCGACGAGATTCCTACTCCTTGTGAAAAAAAGAACATTCTCTTCCTGATTCGATAGACGGACCTGACAGGACGACCATCTGCCTCGCGGATAAACCCTTTACGGCGAAATTCGCTATCAACTGCGTCACATCTAAATCCGGCGACGGAATGTCCTCCTCCGCCGCAGCCACGGAGAACGCCACGAGCCCGTCTCTTCTGCCACCTTGCACAGCCCATCCCGTCCCATTCAGCTGCACACGAAAATCGACAATGAATTTCATGAATTTTAATGGCAATCCGAAATCCACTGCTACCCGATCGAAATGCAATTTACAAGATCAGCTCGTGTCTATGCTTCTGTTGGAAAATCATCGTCTCGTCCTTGTCAATCTGAATGAAATCTTAAGGAATGAATTTATGAATGTCGTCCACAGATTCAGTGATTAAGACGGATTCGATGATCAGATTGATTGTGGACATTCGGAGGATAGGATTGTAGCGCCGGAATACTGAGTGTAGGGAGGAGCAGTGTGACGATTCAAATCGAGGTCCATTTACTTCGAGTTCCAGCGGAGGCTACGAGTTTTCTCACCTTAATGGCGCTGTCGCGAGCTGCGTAGGCCAAGACATCTGCGCAAGATACGACGCCGGGGCAGATGGCCTCGACCGCCGTCTTGGCAGCGTCCACCACCTCGAATCCTCTGAGGTGCGCGCTGACGGAAGATTTCTCCGTGTCATCTCCATCCAGCAACACTGAAGCCTCGCAGCCCTGCATTGCACACAGCACGAGATGGATGAGCTGCACATGGCCCTCTCGATGAATAAAGCTCAGCGAAAGCTCGCTCTTCTGTAAATCTTGGGCATTGCATTGCAGTCCGTGTGCTTGCAAGCAAATCCATGGTCAGACAGCGAGCCCAGTTGAGCTTCGTAAGGGAGCACGACACACATTTGGGACGTGGGGATTGATGGATGGCTCCGTTTCTGAATCAGAAGGGCAGAGCAGTGAGACCTCACCCCGACGAAGCAATCGTGGAATTGCAAGCGGATGATAGCGGCGGCATTACTTAAATTCTTGTCGAGCTCAGCAAAGACAGCGTTTTGGATCACGCGTTCGGCATCAGGGCAAAGCTGATCGTAGAATTGGTCCTTCAAACAATTCTGGTTCACAGCATCCGCTGAACCATGGACGAGTAGAGTCAATGCGACCACTGACAGTATACTCCTGGTCGGTGCCATGCCTTCCTAGTAAGGGTAACTCCTTTTTGCAATCTGAGATGGTTGGTATGGATGGATTGAACGGACATTAGCTTCACAATCCAAACGGACAGCCAGTGGAGCATTCACTGATCGAGTGCCCGAGCAGTCAGGCCAGACCCTGATGCAGGTCCGAGGCTACGGAAGAGAGATGCTGCTACTCGACGATTTATTGGTGCAAGATAAGAGCACAGCACGCTAGCTGTCATAACCAGGTACTCTCTCGAAACATGTCTCCCCTTTCCTGGAGATGCTCTCTGATTCGAACGAGATAGTAGATCATGGAAAACTGCGCAAGAACTGCAACCTCATCATCATCATGAGGAAAGGGGATGCATGAATGTGTCGAAACGATCGAGAGAGTTGTGTCGTAGCTGTTTCATGACAGGCGGATGAACGAGAGTCAGCCAGCGAGAGTCAGCTGACTGGTGCATTGTATGAGGATACATAATTGAATGTTTGCTGGATACGAAAGCAGGCACTCCGGTTCTTAATATTCCGAAGAAGGCTTCAGCGACCTGACCTGACCTTCTCCTGAAAATCCCTCGATCAGATTTATTGGAATCCCAAAAAGGCTGCCGTGGACGAGTGAGCTAGTTAGATTCCGACCATCTAAGCCAAGAGTTAAAATAAATATCATCCGGCCTGCTTTCTGCGTAGCTTCGGTAAGACGTCACGTCGCTCTGATAGGCGAAATTGCTCGCCATTTACAATGTATGACTCTAGATCTATGGCAGGTGTCAGATCGGTCTCCGATTGCTCGCTGGACTCTTTGGAGAATCTATCATCGCATTGAATGCACACGAGTCGACAATGAAATCATCTTCATCCTCAGCAGGTCTTCGACGCTGATCTGATCTGATCAGAATGGGTAGCTCTACTTGTGAAGACCGCCAGCTCTCATCGGTCAGGATGACTCTCATGGATCGATATGAACCTCTTGGCTTGGGCTCTCAGGTTCTTCGAGACCACCCTGGCAGCAGCCACGCCAAAAACCTCAGCTTGGAAGCAGATCTGAAGAAAATCTGACTGTTTCTCTGCGGCATGAAACCTGTTCTGTTCGGATTGAACATGATTGTTGAGGTGCAGAACTGCGAGAGTAGGGCATGGGCGAGCTAGCTTATGGGTTTCTGTTGGGCCTATCCCTATCGGATACATGTGATTTCCCGTTCGGAGCTCGATGAACTGACTTTTCTTTTCTTCCCAATCGATGGACTTGAATTGAATTAAATTGGAATTTTTATCTCTCGCCCTTGCCAGTTCGAGGGACTGCGAACAGGTGTGTGTGTGTGAATGCATGGGAGAAGAGTCTTCTCTTTGAAGATCTGAATACAGCGAAGGATTGTTCTATCACTGGGTGTGTACACCATGGCTGTAGTTTTACCCCAACGCTGGTCAACGTGATCGACGTGCATTAACGTGGTTCTCTCGAAGACTGATATTTCATGTCACAAGTTACTGAGAGCTCGTTGAGAAACTGATGTTGCGAAGACTCGATTCCTCCCCCGTTCAACAATTCCGTCAGCGATTTTGTTTGCAGTATTTTGTCACAGTAATAATTCGCGGCCCTTGGGTCTCTGTGAAGTTAATTCAATCAAATCCATGTATTGAGATGAATGAGACGTGAGAGTGATTTCATGCATCTCATCGAGAACATGAACTGCCGTTTGTAACACACTTCAGAGTATCTCCGAGACAAAGAGCGAGCTGTTGCAGTGTAGGTAGGGCCGGACAGCGAGATTGAGACTGAGATTGGATGATCGATGAATTACGTCGACAGGTGTGAATGTATGTGATTGGCAGCAGAAGGCATCCGTGGCCACACCTCAAGGCTCGCCCTGACAGTGACCAACTGAGTGACTGACCTTCCTTCTGCTCAAGCGGAGGAGACACAGTTGAGAAGATGTGCTCTAAAAGGATTTGTTGTGCAAAGACGAATCTGATTCTCGAGGACTGCCTGTCACGAGAAATCACAGTTTCTTTGTTGGCAGCTGTTGCAAACGTAGGTAGGCATGACTTCGGTGCATACTCCGTGCTCATGGCTCCACGAGCTGGAAACAAGTGTCGCTGTCCGGTCTGCAGGTAAATGGACAAACTGATTATGAATGGCCTCATAATTATCAGGAGCCGACAGGAATGCCCGTCATTCTTTTGCTAGATCCGAAATCCTTGTCTTCGTAGTCGTGGGAGTGGGGACATGTCGGAGCATCATGATCGGTCAATTATAGCGAGGACTTCTTTCGTAAATTCAGAACCGCGTAAGACAAAGTGCGAAGTTTACAACCTCACAGCCATTGGCACGTAGGGCGACGAGCATTACCAGTTGCCGTAAAGCTCGAAGTCGAAATGGTTAGAGCAGATTCCAAATGCATTATGCTGAACCTCGTCCTTCAAAGCCAGCTTGACCGAGAATCCATTGACGTCGTGGAAGAACCGAAATGATTGAACGGAGAAGTTCAAATCTGATCATGATAGGTAACAACTGAACCATCGATCGATCATGTTGCCGTCAGCTGAGATTTAAGCATCGCTTGCATCCGGATAGCAATCATTGTATTCACCTGCTCGAAGAAATTTGATTTTTGGCAATTCTAATCGGCCTCATCCAACTTCCCAGCCCAGAGCTGGGGCAGATCAAGATCGAGGCTATGGCGGCTGCTGCTGCTGCAACGACGTTGACGGCCTCGGCGTTGTCATCGTGGCGTTCATGGAAACTTCGGGGACTGCTTCCGGTGCAGAAACTTCATCTCCTTCCTCCTCAAGCAACCGACGGATCTCAAAAATCATCGATCTCGCGTCTTCTTCGCTAGTTCTGTCAAATGTCTGGCTGGCTGACGGGCATCCGATCGTGAAGCATCTGCCTTCGCGACAAGCTTTCGAGAATTGCTCTGCAAAGGAGGTATTCGTGAATTTATTCGTTACTTCCACTCATTTCAGTCGAGTACATCAATCATGATGTTGAAGCCCCGGGGATTATCAAGCCATATTCGATGCCCTTCCTATCCTTATAGAGAACATAGTTGAGAAAGAAGGAAGAAGTCAGTTGGTGCCCTTGCCCACCGCTAACATAACCTTGTCATGAGTATCACATTCTTTAAATGACTTCTTCTTGAACTCATCAAGAAAGATAAAAGATAGAATGGATGGACTCTTTGGTAAATTTGGATCTTGTAAAATGCCATAGACTTTTTCGTTCTCTTGCTTCTTCTGTTTAGACTTGAAACCTTTCCAAATTGAGACATTTCTTTACATTTCTCCCCTTCGGCTTTACTAACCTTGGTCTGGAGATGATATTTCTTAAACTATTTCTTGAACTTATCAAGAAAGATGAAAAAGTCAGTTGGTGACCTTGCCAACCAAGGCGAGACCCTTGAACTTGTGACATCTTCCTTAAACAACTTCTTGAGCTCATCAAGAAAGATGAAGAAGTCAATTGGTGAACTTGCCAACCAAGGCGAGATACTTGGTCTCGTGATGTTATTCCTTAAACAAATTTTTGAACTCATCAAGAAAAATGAATAAGTTAATAGATGGCCTTGCAAACTACGACATCCTTGGCCTCGATATGATCTTCTATGAACAACTTCTTTAAGTTATCAAGATAGTGAAGAAGACAGTTTGTGACCTCTTCAGTTACTTTGGATCTTGTAAGCTCACATAAACTTAAAGAACTCTTGCTTCATCCCTTGAATCTTGGCAATGTACAGATTCTTCTCAAATTTAGAAATGTCTTTCCAATTCTATTCTTTGGCTTTGCCGACTACAACGACACCTTTGATCTTGAGAAGATCTTGCTTAAATGACTTTTTGAACTCATTAAGAAAGATGAAGAAGCGATTGGTGACTTGCCAAACACTGCGACATCCTTGACCTTGGAATAATCTTCCTTAAACGACTTCTTGAACTCATTAAGAAAGATGAAGAAGACAATTGGTGCTTTGCCCGCCACTGTAACATCCTTGACCTTGGAATAATCTTCCTTAAACGACTTTCTTGAACTCATTAAGAAAGATGAAGAAGACAATTGGTGCCTTGCCCGCCACTGTAACATCCTTGACATTGGAATAATCTTCCTTAAACGACTAATGAACTCATCAAAAAAGATGAAAAAGTCAGTTGGTGGTCTATTCGATTGGTTTAGATCTTGTAAGTTGACATAGACTTATCATACTTCTGTTTCTTCTGTTGAGCCTTGACAATGTAGATAGTCTTCTCAAATCCAGACATGTCTTTCCATTTCTCTCCTTTGACTTTGCCAATGCGACACCCTCGACATGATGTTCCTTTAACAGCTTATTGAACTCATAAAGAAAGATGAAGAAGTAAGTTGATGAACTCTTCGGTTGGTTAGGATTTTTAAGCTTATATAGATTTATTATACTTTTGTTTCTTCTATTGAGACTTGACAATGTTGGGAGATGTTTCAAATTCAGTCATGTCTTTTCATTTCTCTCCTTTGACTTTGCCAATGCAACATTCTTGGCCTCGGCATGATGTTACTTTAACAGCTTATTGAACTCATCAAGAAAGATGAAGAAGTCCGTTGATTGACTCTTTGGTTGGTTGGATCTTGTAAGTTGACATAGATTTATTATAATCTTGCTTCTTCTAATGAGACTTGAAAATGTTGGGAGACATCTCAAATTCAGTCATGTCTTTTCATTTTTCTTCTTTGGCTTTGCAAACCATGGCAACACCTTTAGTCTCAAAATGATCTTGCTTGAACGACTTCTAAATCTAATCAAGAAAAGATTAAAAAGTCAATTGGTGGCCTCTTCGGTTGGTTCGGTCTGTGGCAATTTTGTGGACTTCTTGAACTTCTGTTGCTTCTTTGTCTTTGCGTTTTTTTAACAGCCTTACAAATCATTATCCACAACTTTGCTGGTCTTTTCTTTCTTTCAACCCACATGTTTGTTGCTTTCATTGTCTTGCTCATATACTTCATTGTAAAGATTCAGAGTACGATGAAGATTCGTAAAGTAATTATCAAAATGAATTTCCTTGCAAACTTTGCCTTTGACAACAATGAAGTACTTTATTGCAAAATCTATCATGAACCGCAAGAATGACTTGACAATAATCCAAACTATCGGGTTTGAAATCTCACATAAATTTCTCGCTCTTTGCTCTAACTCTACCTCAAACAGAGTACAATCGAGATCGTAAGGACAAACTATAACTCTCAGAGCAATGATCCAAAATACTTGATCTATCAATGCTATGAATTCAACAAGAGTATGATTTACTCATAGACGTTGGATGTAATGACTTGATGTTGAGAGGCAATTGTCGATGTGATGACTATTCTAGCAATGAGATACATAGATCTTGACTATAAAAGATATTTGTCCATTCATTTTAATCAACAAATTTAAAAATAATCAACAAAAGTATGTGTA